GCAGGGGAGGGGGCAGGACACAGTAGTTTGGAACCTTTTAAAATAGAGGTATAAAATGGCAGATAGACCCAAAACATTTTCCCAACTTAGAACTAAATTGTACTGCATATGAAAATTTGTTTTTCTTTGCATATCATAAAATTCACCACTCTTTTAAGTAACAGTTACTGAAACAAGAACTATTATTTGCTAATTATTTATCCAATCATTTTCATTTAAGCAGGAATTTATCTCAAGGATGATGGTAGAAGTGAAAAAAGAATGACAGTGAGATAACACATCTTTTAATGGTTCAGCTACAGTCTAGGTTTACACTGATGTGTATATCTCATCAATAACAATTTTATGAAAATTCTGGATCTAAATATACTCAATAATGACACCGTCCTATCTGAGTTTGAAAAAACAAATATAATGTGGTATGTGAAATAAGTCTTCTTAAACTTTTTCAAATTACAAATGAAAAAGCATGCCTTCAGATGGAATAATTCCAAAACTAAAGGATAATAGTAACCCTTCTACCAGTCAACACTATGTATTAAAATATAGTACTCATAGGACCTTAGGGTTTCCTTTTATTGTCACTCGAGAGGTATAGCGGGGAATATGTAAGTCAGTTTTCAACAGTTCTCACAGTTTTAAATAGTTCTTATTCTTTGTAAGAATCTACAGAGAAGTCGGGGGAGGGGAGGGGAGGGGTTGGGGAGATAGGAAGGATAGTAGAATGAAACAGACATTATTATTACTGTGTGTATATATGTGACTGCATGACCAATGTGATTCTGCAACCTGTATACTCAGAAAAATGAGAAATTATATCCCATCTGATTCAAATGTATGATATGTCAAGGTCATTGTACTGTCATGTGTAACTAATTAAAACAAATTTTAAAAAAAAAGAATAAGAACCTACTAGTGGTGTAAGGCTCTCCCTCAAGTTCCTTTCCTCCACATTATGCTGCCTGACCCTTAATAGGTTCTAGAGAAACTAAATGCACACTTGTCATATGATCACTGTTGTGCGCCACTGTCTTAACTCATGGTGTATCTGTGCTATATATAGTTTCCTTTGTTCCTTGTACAAAGGGATCTCTCTAATATGCTACACAGCACCTAATACAAAGTCAAGTGATTGGTTCTCATTAAGTAGCTAATGCCCAATAAAGCATCTACCTTTACATTTTTCATACAAGGCCTATAAATACCCTCAACTCATGATCCCAGTTGAATGTTCAGGGCATAATAATTATGCACTCTAAGAAGGGCTGAAATCATGAGCATGATATTGGTGTTTTGATACTGGTGTCATATGCAACCATTCTCTTTTGTTTGACTAGACTAAATCATCTCATCTCTGATAGCAGTGATAAAAATCAACCATTGTGAATAAAATACCACTTTTTAAAACAAGTTTCCTAATATTGTTTAAATGTTGAAACTGCCTATCAACTAATCATTAGTGTACAAATGCTTAGAAGTAAAACAATACTTTGCCTCTACATTGAAGTCTCTATGTACTTCATCGCAACAAAACCCAATCTGTCTTTTTCAAAATTGTTTCTCCTGGCAAAAATTTCTGCTGTCTGGCCAAGTTTAGTGTTAAAAATAAAGTACAGTATTACAACATCAATCAACATTTAAAGTACTTAATGATTTATGAAAGAAGTATACAATAATTCTTTTTGAAATAAGTAAGCCAATCAAAGATTTATTTATATTATCAGATCAATAGTACAGTTTTGAGAAAATCACATTTGTGTGTTTAGAGATATAAAAGTGGTATTAAACACTTAGGTAATATAAGAAAACAGACTTACAGGAGGCTATAAAAGGCAAGAATAATTTAAAGGGCTGGGGATATAGCTCAGCAGTAGAGCCACTTGCCTAGCATGCGAGAGTTCAATCCCCAATGCCAGGGGAAGAGAAGAAAAAATTTAAAGACAGAACCCACTGCAGCTTTACTTCCCTTCTTGTCTGTGTGACTCTGGCCCCTTGCCTGCTTTTCAAATACCATGTGTACAAGCCTCATGGCACAGTTTTTTTTTGTTGTTGTTGTTTTTTTCCCTTGTGGCTAATACTGATTCCACAAATTAAGTCCAAAGTTCTTACACTGTGATGATGAGTAAAAATTGTAATCTTTTTGAAATACAGGGGATAAAACCCAAGGGTTTTTTTTATAATCTACTGCAAATTACTCTATCATTGAGCTACATCCCTGGCCCTGTCTAAATTTCTTAGTTGATTTTGAGAGAGGGTCTTGCTAAATTGCCAAGCCTTGCCTCAAATTTGCAATCCTCCTGCCTCAGCCTTCTAGTAGCTGGGATTGTAGGTGTAGGACACAGCACCAGTGAGTTGTAATTTTTTTACATGAATAGGAAACTAGTCCACCTAAGTCCAATCAGACATGATCAAGAAAATCTGAAAAGATTCTACCACTGGGAGTTTAAATGGGAATCGAACAAGTACTAAATACTGCAAGGACTCTGGCATCCTTACCAACTACAACAAATCACAGATTTTTTAAAAAATCTTATAATCTACTGCAGATTACTCAGGTGGCTGTCTAAAAGGGAATGCATGGCCTTAGATAACATGGAAGCATGGCACAGATAATGAGTTGGTTCAGAACTCACCTTTTTAACTCCATGAGTTTGAGCCTAGCCCTAAGAGATGAATTCTTTTTTTTTTTTTTTAATATTTATTTTTTTAGTTTTTCGGCGGACACAACATCTTTGTTTGTATGTGGTGCTGAGGATCAAACCCGGGCCGCACGCATGCCAGGCGAGCGCGCTACCGCTTGAGCCACATCCCCAGCCCCAGAGATGAATTCTTTAGCTAACCCATTACATAATCAGTGTCCCCCCTCTGGACTGCCATATGTGTTCCAAATGATGCTAAACTGTAATGGCCTTCCATCTAAGTGAATTTTTCCCAAAAAATAACATCTCTTAGTAAAGCAGTCATTTCAACTGTGAGGGAACAAAATAGATGATACTACCATATCTTCCAGGAAGGTGAAGGTATCCAGAACAAAAGATAAAGTCAGACTATATATAACCATTTTCCTGACAAGAATGTAATAATGTATAAAGATCATAACTTCGGGCATGAGTAAAGAGATCAGCGTTCAAATCTCAGTTTCTTTACCTTATAAAATGGAACTAATACCCACTTACTTTAGAATTGTTATAAATGGCAAATATAATAAGAAAGGATTAGCTAACACAGGCTCTGCTGTCAAATGCCTGCAACAGAGCTTTAGAACGTATGGTTTCTTTGCTGCTTATTTCCAGGCATATCCACTAGACTTGGTTTCTAAGCTAGCCAATTCTTACAAAGTAGAGGGCTTTTAGTTGGTGGTAATCTGCCTCAAATCAAGTTATTCTGAGGAAAATTACCTCATACCTTACTGGGTGTTTTTATTTATAAAAATCCCATATTTCCTTTCTTCTGCTGGATTTAGGCCAACTTACTTAGGTTCTCCTTTGGTATCCATGCTTCAAAGGTTTTTGCCTGCTTACCCCCTTAATGTCCAAGTCACTCTTCTGTTTTGACAGTACCTCTGCTTTTCCACCTCCTTCTGTTTTGCCTGTTTTTATTTTTTTTATTCTAATTAATTTTTTTCTATATGACAGCGGAATGCATTAGATTTCTTATGACACATACAGAGTACAATTTTTCATATCTCTGATTGTATACAAAGTTTATTCACACCAATTTGTGTCTTCATAGATGTACGTTGGGTAATAATGAACATCACATTCCACCATCATTTCTAACCCCATGCCCCTTCCCCTCCCACCCCTCTGCCCTATCTAAAGTCCGTCTATTCCCCGCCATGCTTCCCCCTCCCTACCCGACTATGAATCGGCCTCTCTATATCAGAGAAAACATTCAGCATTTGGTTGAGATTGGCTAACTTCACTTAACATTATCTTCTCTATTTCTCTTTTGAATCAGATGGTATGTTTTTCTTAATTCCTTCATTGCATGCCTTATTACCACCATGCCAACAAAGACACCCAAGGATTAGGGATTTCTAGGCTCCACCATGGGACCTCTCCTATCACCTTGAATCATTACCCACTACACATAGTCTTAGAATAGCCTCAACTTCCTGGTTACCCCAAAATCAGAGATTAAATGAGGACATGTCATCATTGTCAGCTGTTAGAATCAACAAAGCATTATGAACCACTTGATAACCTGAGCCCCAACTGATAATCCTAAACACAGGGCTCACCTTAGGGAACAGATAGGACTTATGATACCTTACAAGCATGAAAAAAAAAAAAAAAAAAAGGAAGGAAGGAGGAAGGGAGGGAGGAAAGAGGGAGGAAGGAAAAAAACATGGTAAGTGTCTGCCTGTGTGTTAAGTCCAACTACTGTCATAAAAATCTAGTTATACCCAGACATTCAATTCATAAAAAGTTACTCTTTGACTTGAGAATACTGTCCTCTCCAACTGCTTGCCCCCTTAGTATCTGGATTCCTAAGATGCCTTCAGTTGGATGCACATGAACCTATCAGGGAGAAGTCATAACCATAAAAAGTTGAATTAGGGGCCTGGGGCTGTAGCTCAGTGGTAAAGTGCTTGCCTTGCATGTGTGAGGCACTAGGTTCGATCCTCAGCACCACAAAAAAATAAATAAAGATATTGTGTGTCCATCTACAACTAAAAAATATATTAATAATTTTTTTAAAAGTTGAATCAGTCAAATCAACCCCTTGGATGACAATAGGATGACAACCAACAAAACAGCATCGTTTCAACATTCAGGAGAATTAACTGGACATCCAGATCCTTCTTAATAAATCTGGTTTCTTTAGGATCAGACTCAAATAGAAGCAAAACAGTCATAGGAGATGGAGATGGAATTCACACACCAAATAAACTATTGGACTCATTCAACTGTGCAAATGCATAGTGGAAGACTACATTTGATTCAACACAAGTACTGTTGGGAAGAACAAAGGAAAAGAAAAACAAAAAAACCTACTTTGTTTTTTAAGTTCTTCAATCTGTTCTTCCTTTAGATCTAACTGTTCCGTAAGTCTGGAAGCAGAATCCAACACAGCATTTGCTTCATCCAAACGTTCCTGAGGGAGGAAAGTTTATTAAAAAGCAGTATCCAAAAATGGTTCTACAAACTATCAGTCTGGGATAGAATCAATCCTTTACACCCTGGCTGATGAAGCTGCACCTCTATGACCTCGGGCAAGTTAATGCAACTAGTAAGTATCAAAGACAGAACCTGCAGTCTTTCACATACAATACTGCCTTTATGAAAGAAACTAAATAAAAAAGAAGATGCTACAAAAAAAAGACCACATGGTGACAGAAGTAAAATAATTTAACAATAGGAAAAATAAAATTACAAAGATACAAATTCAAGAAACACAACAACAAATGTTCTCACTTTTTAAAATTTTTGCCAAGTATAACACACATAAAATGATTGTTTCATTATGATTTCATTACTTTAAATCATTTACTTAATTACTATTGCATTTGAACATTTCTATCCTGTTTACAGGACAGTTGAATCTGCTCTTTTATGAAAAACCTCTTTTCCTGTGTGCGTCTGCTGCGCTGTTTTCTTTGTTAACTTGTAAGAGTACCTTGTAGATATGAACCCTCTGTCATCTGTGCTACACAAATTTACAAGATTTGCCACTTGTCTATCGACTATTATTACCACTTGTCATTTAAGTATTTTTATAATGTATATAGTCAAACATGTCCTACTACTTTGCTTTCACAACTTAAATTTAGACTATTGGAATCTTCCTTGCCCCTAGATTAAACATGTAGTATTTTAGATTCTACTGCAAGATAATTTTGGCGGGGGGTGGGGGGGTGGGGGAATTAACCAGGGATTTAATCTAGGGGTACTTAACCACTGAGTCATAGCCCCAGCCCTTTTTATTTTGAGATAGGGTCTTGCAAAGTTGCTTAGGGTCTCACTAAATTGCTGAGACTGGCCTTGGAACTTGTGATTCTCTGCCTCAGCCTCCTGAGCTGCTGAGATTACAGGGATGTGCCCCATGCCCAGCTATTTTTTTTTTTTAATATTTAAATCATTAATACAGTGGAATACTTTTTTCCAGTGGAATACTTTTGATAATTCCTAGCTCACTGAATGTCAGAAGAACCATTTAGTCACTGTAACAATTGAAAATATCCCCATGGTGCACACCTGTAATCCCAGTAGCTCAGGAGGCTGAAGCAGGAGGACAGCAAGTTCAAAACCAGCTTCAGCAACAGCCAGGCACCAAGCAACGCTGTGAGACCCTGACTCTAAATAAAATACAAAACAGGGCTGGGGATGTGGCTCAGTGATGGAGTGCCCCTAAATTCAATCTATATATATTCCCAGATATCTAACACCACTTCCAGTTGAGACTTCTTGCTTTAATACAACTGGAATTTATTTTTGTATCTGATGTTAAGATGAAGTCTGATTTTATTTTCTTCCTTATGGATAGTTTCCAACGTTATTATTTAGATAATTTAAATAAACTTTCAATCCCCTTTTCTCAGGGGTTAGTTTTAATTTTCAAGTATATCCTGGGCTCTTTCTCTGAATTCTTTGGTTCCACTAATCTAGTCAACATTGTAATGGTTTGTGGCTCTATTTTGATATCTAATCGGCAAGTCTCTCCTCATTGTTATTCTTTTTCATAATTTTCTTGGCTATTCTGGAGAATTTACCCATCTAAATTTCAAGCCAAGTTTTCAATCTGAGTGATAGCTTTCTTGCTGTATTATCTTGGATAAGCTACAGTCTCTAGCTATTCAATCAAATATAATCTAGATGTTGCTGGAGAGGTATTTTGTAAATGCACTCAAATCCCTTAATCAGTTGAATTTAAGGAAAGCACATTATTCTGGAGAATTCTGGGTGGGCCTGACTGAAGTTCTTAAAAAGCAGGGATTTAGGCTTCCCCAAAAAAGACTAAAAAACTCCTTCTGTGGACAGCAGCTTCTTTTGTGCTCATGGAGATTTGTCCTGCTTATGACCTTCCTGACTGCCTGTGGACAGCATCTATGGCCTGTGCCTACGACTTCTGCTTGCCTTTGATGTGGTCTTCCCATCTTAACCACCATCACGGCAACCTTCAGACTTGCTTAGCCAGCCTCTACAATTATGTAGTCAACTCCTTATAATAAATCATGTTTATATCCTATATAATACACATATAAACTTATATATGCACATACATGTACACACATACACCCCACTAGTTCTGCTACTAAGGGTTGAACTCTGATACACAGAGCAACTGAAACTAAATTTTAGATCAAAATGTTTTATTCAGGGCTGAGGATATAGTTTAGTAGTAGAACACCTGTCCAGCAAGGCCTTGAGTTCAATCCCCAGTACTGCCCCCCCCAAAAAAGTAATATTCCAAGTCCAAGAAACTAAATTTAATATAAAGGAAATTTAATAAACTTTCAAATGATATTTTTAAACCTTGTATTTACATTCATGAAATTATCAAAGCTTAAAACTACACTCAAGTATTTTCAAACATCAGCATTTATGCTGTTATTCTTTCTGGGTTTTTATTTCAGTAGTTTCAGATTCTATCTTCATTAATTCCCTCATCATTTCTTCTGGTTTATTTTGTTCTTTTTTAAATGTATATTACATTTTAAAATTAAAACACACACACACACACACACACACACACACACATATACACACAACACTGGTTTAAAAAAGGGACCCGGACTTCCATGCTAGCAGTTGGACAGATGGGATACTTCAGAACCACTGGACATAACTAAAAGCATTGGATAAAATGTAGCCTGTAAAACCTATCCATGAACCTACAAGAAAGCACAAATGGTCAACAGCTACACTAAATGATGTGTGACCTCATTAGTAGTCAAGGAGATGCATACAAAAACTGTAAGAGAGTCCGTCTGATATGGTTTGAATGTGGCCCCCTAAGTTCATGTGTTAGAATCTGAGGCCCAGTGTGATAGTGTTGGGAGGCAGGTCTATTGGGAGGTGTTAGGTCATGGGCACACCACCCTAATATCATTATTTCAGGCCTGGGCTCTTTATAAAGGACAAATTCAGCCCCCTCTTGCTTTCTCTCTGGCCCTCTCTTTGCCCTTCTGCCAGGGGTTGGACACAGCAAGAAGGACCTCATCAGACACTAGTCTTGGACTTCTCAGCCCCCAGAACCATTAGCCCATAAAATTTCTTTTCACTGCAAACTATCCAGTATATGGTATTTTGTAATAGCAGCACAAAACAGACTCAAACAAATTCCCAATCACCAGTTTGATAAAAACTTAAAAAGCCTAATAATGTGAAGTGCTGACAAGAATGCAGAACAAGAACTCCTGTGCATTCTTGGTAGGAGTATATAAACACAAAAGAACAAAATCTGCCATCTGCAATCCGCCATAAACATCTATGACTCAGCAATTTCAACCAAAATGTATACCTGAAAGAAATTCATGTGTGTGTGTACCAGGAGATATAAACAACAAGGAAGTACGTAACCACATAATTTGTACAGAAGATATCTAAAATGTTCTTTTGTCAGTAAAATGGGTAAGTAAATTATAACAATAGTTTATGTATAAAGGTTAGGTTATACATGCCTTATATATAATTTTGTGTATATGAAATATGGCATAATAATAAAGAGAAAAATCTTTTTAAAGGCGGATACTTACAAAAGAAAGAGATCTAATGGGGTAATATATGTTATTTGAATCCATGTGAAATGTAATACCCAATATTATTTTGCTTAAAAGAGAAAATTATAAAGTTAAAAATGCAGATTAAATTTTCTTTAGAAATAGCTAAAATACCTATGTGTGCTAAAAAATTAAACATGCCTTCATCTACATTCTCTGGAAATCCTGACTACCTTATTCACTGTTATGACCCCAAACTGTGCTGGATATACAGCAGCCGCTCAAATAACATTTACTATATGAATGGAAGAGAAGAGAATTTCCAAGACAAGGATCTACAAGTAATCATACCATGAATAATAAGATTTACAAGAGAAAACTCTTTTGGTCTACCTGTAATGACAATACTTCTCCTTCTAATTTTTCTGCCTTTTCCTTCCATTCAGCTATAGACTGTTTTGCTTTTTCTAATTCGGCAGAATACATAGCTTTTTCTTCTAAAAGAGAAAAAGAAGTTATATTAATATTTTGCAATTGTGATAAAACTGGAATTTTAAACCACCCGTACTTTAATAATTTGACAACAGTTCAAACACCTCAACAAGAAATTTATATATCTTAATGATCAAGTGGAACTAAATAAATTAGTATTTCCCTCTGCCTAAAGCCTGATCTTGGATATTCTTCTCTCCTTTCATAACTCCATCCAATACTTCCTTTTCGGCAAAGCCTTCTCTACAGCCTCAGTGCCACACTACTCTATATGCTGTATACTCAATCACATTATATTGTAAAGTAGACCTGAGAACTCTTACAATTTAAAGTATAAAATTTCAACCATGTGAGTAAGTCTGAAAGAATACAGAGGTACAAATTTAAAGTTTTGTGTAGACAAAAAACTATAAACTCTTGTTGGTTACTTCAGTATCCTCATATCCCCTAATCCTCCTCCTGCCTGCTCCCAGTCAGTTACTTAGCAATTAATTCAGTCAGTACCTACTGAATGTATGAATAAACATATAGGTGGCTACATAAGTGAATGGAGTCAACTGGATAAATCTAAGGATGGAAGGTCAAGTGTGGAAAAGCATGTAAAGCGTATTTGGTTCTCAGGGTAAAAAAGCTTTGATCACTGTTGGTATGTCTCAAAAAAAAAAAATTTTTCACTTGGACCAGAAAATGTAATCATCTCAAAGTCCAGATGACCAGAGTAAGGAGTTAATAAATAAATACTTCAAAGGACAGTAATTACTGGTAATTACCACTCTGAAGAGGATTTAACCTCCAATCAACATCTCAAAAACCTAACTGCCTTGTTTCTATGTTCTTCTTTTTGTTCCCCTTTATCATTGGATCATCCTTATTCATGTTATCCTTATAATTCCAACTTTGATTTTAACTAGTAATAACATACTAAACACAAAGCTTTCAATAATTACTAAATACAGTTCATGTTCTTTAGTTTTAATTGTAAAAGGAGTCTAAATTAACTTTTTGATGGTTTTTTGATGTCTTTCCCCCTTAACAAGCAAGAAAATTTTCAAAGATTTCCCCATGTCTAACCTAAAGAAGTATTAACATAAGGCAAAATTACTAACAACTACAATTTCTCTTCACTGCAAGATCAACCACACAACTTACCTTGTTGGAAATGCTCTAGAACCATTTGCAGGTTGGTTAATGACAGGGCATACTGTTTTGCTTGTTCCTGGGAGAGCGAAAACTGCAGTGCGTTCTCATCCCTCTGCTTAGACACCATACTCAACTGCTCCTGCAGAGACTCTATCTGCACACTGGCTTGATGACTTCAAACAAAAGAATCAAAGTCAAACTGCTTCTACCTATTTAGACACTTCAGCAAGAAGAAACATTTTCCCAACATAAATCTTACTGCATTACATACAAGGTAGCTTTCAAAGTATTTTTTTAGACACTTAAACAAGATGAAATCTTTCATACATTTTTAAAATTGTGACAAAATATAACTTAAAATTCACCACTTAACCATCTTTTCAAGTATATGGTTCAGAGTCACTAAGTATAGTCACATTGTTGTACAATCATCACGCCATCCATCCATCTCTAGAGCTTTTCTACTTCCCAAACTGAAACTCCATTCCTATTACATAACAACTCCCCCTTCCCTTGGCATCCACCATCTACTTTCTGTCTTTAGAAATTTGAGTCTCCTTACATTTTACTGCATTAAATTCAAGTTCAAGAACTGGGAGAATTTTTCTGATCTTTGTTGTTTCTGTTAATTCAATTATCCTTCCTGTGAAGGTGACTTTCACCAAACAGCAGGCCTTTTAAAGACTGACAATTAGACTAAACAAGAAATGCTGGCAAAAGAAAAACTTATAAAGAGCCTGCAACTTTCACATTTCCAAACTAAAACTAACATATAATTTATCATAAAATGCTGAATTGTAAGGGCCCTTCAAAGTCACTGTGTCAGCATAAGGCATTTTGTCCAAGCTAAGGAGAAATGGATGTCCGTTCTATGATGTTCCCTTGTTTTTATCACTTGCAATCATGATGTATGTATAACTTTCTAAAGGCTGTCCCACTGATGAACTGCTATGATTAGTTATCTTTCATTATCATCTCTCTTATTGCCTTTATTAAATATAATACAATAAACCCTACCCCTGTTCCAAATAATAACACAGAGATTCCTAAGAGATCTATTTATATAGCACCTTTGCATGCAGGCTTATGTCATTGGTGTACTTCTTTATTGTATTATGATTACATCAAAAATACTGCTATGATCTTCATGAGTATTTAACCTCCAGTTAAATTCATACTGAAAAGCATTAAATAACTCACTTTGGAGACACTTTACCAAATAGCACCCTCTTGTGGAAAGAACTGTAAATTGATAAGACCACCTGAACTCCATTTCCCAAATCAAACTGTTGATTGTAAGGATAAGATGTGCTATGACTGCCCTCAAAAAAGTTAATAAATACCAAGTATTACTATTAAGGGCTCAACACACTATAAATTGGTTTAAAGATCTGAGTTTTTCATAAAACAAATATTGCTGAATATCTATAAACTATGTATATAACATATATGGTGGGAAGGGTACATAATGAATAGCTCATCACTTCACTTCAATGAACTTACACTGTATAGCATGGGAGACAGTGTAACATAGGTCAAGAACTACCTGTACCTTCAAGTAAAATATATCTGCCCTACCAAAGACTCAAGTATTACGCAAGTTCACAACAGGAACTATTTTTTGATAAAAAGGTGAGGGGTACTAAATAAGGCACCCTTCATGAAGAAAACAGAATTTGGAGAATAGGTGGGACTCACAGAAAAACTGGTAGGGATAGGCCCACACTTCAGGTAGAAGGATTACTATGAAAAGAAAAAGTAGAAAGAAAGGAAATCATACTCTGAGGAGCTGAATAATAGTTTGGCTGGATGTGGATGACAGTATAAAAGAAGGCTAAGGTGGAAAGTAGCCTAGGACCAATCACAGAAGTCGAGACACTTGTTTCAAAAACAGGGAGTTACAAGATCAAAGCTCATCTTAGGGAAGTTTATCCTGGAAGTTATTAGGAAGAGTAAACGACAGAGACACAGACTAGAAACTATTTTAATTAAGGAAAACAAGGGCCTAAAAACTGCAAAGATGGATTATAAGTATGCCACAGCCTAAGGATGTTTTGGCATTTCTGCCAAAGTAATGCATGTACCAATGATCATTGTTTTAATCCCTATATTAAACAAAATTTCCTTGTGAGTCAAAGGATATAATAATATACTTTTCAAAGCAGACGGAGGAACTCACTAGAAATTTGTCTCTACTGACTTTTAAACTCTTTTCAAAGAGATAACATCTACTACCTCCTTGTATCTTCATGTGTGTCATACATAGCGAAAGGAAAATAAAAGATGCAAATATCACTAATGGAAATAAATGTAGACATAATTTTTCTAGCAGATAATTTGATGATTCAATCTCAAAAATTTTTAAATGCCCCTTGATTTGAAAGTTCTCAAATTTTACACAGGAAATAATCTGTCCTCACCACAAAAAAAAAGTCTTGAGATATCATGACAGCACTCTCCATGATTTTGAAAGGTTGAAACACTCTGAATGTTCAATAATAAATGATTGGGTTAAAGAAATTATAACAAATCCAAATCCATATACTATATGCAGCCATAAAATGATAGTACAGAAATACATGGCTTACTGTATTCTCATGCTCATATTAGGTGACAGAAAAAGGTTACAAATAACAGCACTAATGATCTCATTTTTGCTTTTTGGTACTGGTACCAAAACAGGCGGGTGGACCAATGGTACAGAATAGAGGACACAGAAACCAATCCACAAAATTACAACTATCTTATATTTGATAAAGGGGCTAAAAGCATGCAATGGAGGAAGGACAGCATCTTCAAGAAATGGTGCTGGGAAAACTGGAAATCCATATGCAACAAAATGAAACTGAATCCCTTTCTCTCGCCATGCACAAAAGTTAACTCAAAATGGATCAAGGAGCTTGATATCAAATCAAAGACACGCCGTCTGATAGAAGAAAAAGTTGGCTATGATCTACATACTGTGGGGTCAGGCTCCAAATTCCTCAATAAGACACCCATAGCACAAGAGTTAATAACTAGAATCAACAAATGGGACTTACTCAAACTAAAAAGTTTTTTCTCAGCAAAAGAAACAATAAGAGAGGTAAATAGGGAGCCTACATCCTGGGAACAAATATTTACTCCTCACACTTCAGATAGAGCCCTAATATCCAGAGTATACAAAGAACTCAAAAAATTAAACAATAAGAAAACAAATAACCCAATCAACAAATGGGCCAAGGACCTGAACAGACACTTCTCAGAGGAGGACATACAATCAATTAACAAGTACATGAAAAAATGCTCACCATCTCTAGCAGTCAGAGAAATGCAAATCAAAACCACCCCCTAAGATACCATCTCACTCCAGTAAGATTGGCAGCCATTATAAAGTCAAACAACAACAAGTGCTGGCGAGGATGTGGGGAAAAGGGTACACTTGTACACTGCTGGTGGGACTGCAAATTGGTGCGGCCAATTTGGAAAGCAGTATGGAGATTTCTTGGAAAGCTGGGAATGGAACCACCATTTGACCCAGCTATTCCCCTTCTCGGTCTATTCCCTAAAGACCTAAAAAGAGCATGCTACAGGGACACTGCTACATCGATGTTCATAGCAGCACAATTCACAATAGCAAGACTGTGGAACCAACCTAGATGCCCTTCAATAGACGAATGGATAAAAAAAAAAATGTGGCATTTATACACATGGAGTATTACTCTGCATTAAAAAATGACAAAATCATGGAATTTGCAGGGAAATGGATGGCATTAGACCAGATTATGCTAAGTGAAGCCAGCCAATCCCTAAAAAACAAATGCCAAATGTCTTCTTTGATATAAGGAGAGTAACTAAGAACAGAGTAGGGAGGAAGAGCATGAGAAGAAGATTAACATTAAACAGGGATGAGAGGTGGGAGGGAAAGGGAGAGAGAAGGGAAACTGCATGGAAATGGAAGGAGACCCTCATGGTTATACAAAATTACATACAAGTAGAGGATAGGAAAGGCAGCAGAATACAACAGACACTAGTATGGCAATATGTAAATCAGTGGATGTGTAACCGATGTGATTCTGCAATATACGGGGTAAAAATGGGAGTTCATAACCCACTTGAATCAAAGTGTGAAATATGATATGTCAAGAACTATGTAATGTTTTGAACAACCAACAATAAAAATTTTTAAAAAATACATTATATGTATAAATACAAACAATACAAATATAAATACAAACAACAAAAAAAAGGTACAACAACAACAACAAAAGATTATCTTGGGTGAGTAGTGCTCTGTTCTTTTGGTTTATATGATTTTTCTAATGTGAAAAACACAATGATTTTATAATAAGAATTTAACAAAACTATTGATAGAAATAAAATTTTTAAATATATAAGCAAAGACCTGGTCACTCAAAAATAATAATAAACCAAAAGTTCATCCTTCATGGTGAACTAGACATTCACTTTGGTTCTTCCTTTATTTTCTTCCCTTCTAATATCCATCCCTAATTCAAGCTTAGATCATTTGATGAAAAAAATTAGTTTTTGGGGAGCTTCAGAGCTAATTACATCAGTCAGAATTTCACAATATTCTCCTATAATGACAAGTAAAAAAATCTAGGAAATCACACACACACACACACACACACACACACACACACACACTGTGCCTGATATTGGGAAGATTTTTAAATCTCTTTACTTTTAGTTTCTTCATCTGTACAATGGAGATGATGAATTTCATGAAAATCAGCTAACATGAAAAGTACTGAGTCTGACACTCAAGCAACGTTCAGTTAGTTGAAATTAATGCAAACAAATGAAAAAATTACCTTGCGTTAGAAGATGAAACTAGCTTTTCCTCCAATAGTGTGACTTTCTTTCTCAGTTGAATCTCTTTGTTTTCTGCAGCCACAATTTCCCGGGTGTAAGAATCTTCTGATTCTAAAAGATGGCTGCGTAGCCTTTCTAGCTCCTGGTTTAAGCGTAGTTCTTTGTCACGTAAGTGTTGAACCTAGGTAGAGGACATTTCTTTACTTTTATTCTATATAATCCTTCCTCCCCACCCTCTCACAAACCACTTTGCTATCAATCTCTTCCCATTACTGAAGTTTATTATACTAACATCGTATAGAATAAGATGTATTTATGCTAGGAAAAATTCACCTGGTATCACGCTGCATATTCATTCCAAAGCTTTAGTAAGATCTCATTTGCTGTGGTTATAATGGAAGATAGAATTATACAAAAGCAATGGCCTCTTTGTGACAGAATACTTTTTCAGTAAATGTCACTTTATTTCATTACTTTATGAGAAATTTTTCTTATATCCAAGATATGCCTTGGTTTTCACTTTTGAAAACTGAAATAAAAAGTACTCTAGGAGATCAAAATCCTACTATAGCAAATCAGAGGAGTCTAAGAAAATCAACAAAGAGATAAGTTCATTTTACTTGGTAGTCCTTCCAGTTATCTTAATAATTATTAAATTTATTATTTGATTCATTGTCCCTTTAAAATGAAAGTATACCTCATGCTGTAGGGTACTGTTTTCCATCTGTTTCTGCTTTAAGGCTACGATGACTTGGTCTCGTTCTTGCTGAAACATAATTGTCTTCTCCTGCATTGATTCAACTGCATTTAAAAGCTGATTTAACTCCCCAGCTTTTCCCTTTTAGAAAGAAATAACTTTAGCTTTGAACAAAATACACTTTTAAAAAGACATTTCTTCATTAAATAATTTGAAAGTATAGTTAACTAGGTCAAAGTCAATAAAAAACAAGAAAGTCTGAGAAACTGTCTATCTAGAGGAGCCTAAGGATATAGGACCTCTAAATATAATGTGGAATCCCAGATGGCATCCTCAAACAGGAAAAGGACATTTGGTAAAAATTAAAGAATTCAAATATATGAACTTTAGTTAATAATAATGCCTCAACACTGCCTCATTAACTGAGATAAATGTACCAGAGTAGTGTAAGATGTTAATAATAAGGGAAACTGAGTATTAATACATGAGAACACTCTTCATTATCTTTGCAACTCTTCTGTAAATCTATAATTAGTCTAACTGAAAAAGTTCACTAGACATATTTTAAAAGGAACCCAACAAGGCAAAAAAAAAAAAAAAAAATCTCTCCAAATTTATTCTATTTACATTTTACAATGTCCACAAGCCTCCAAATCACAGAAGAAATGGGATTCTTCCTGTGTGTGTGTGTGTGTGTGTACGCGTGCACATGAATTCATTCATCAGGCACCCATGATTGTTAAAGAGAAATAATGACGTCAAGTGTCTGGCAAAAGAGAGAAAGGTAAGTCTTTCATATTATGTGCAGCCTATTTTAAAAGAATACTTTCGGCAACAATTTAACAAAAGCAACTATCAAATGAAATCTTGCTAGACAGTAAATGAAAATTTATTTTTGAATGCATTCTGGACAAGTACAACATATTAATGGCAGCAGATAAAAGATAACCCTTCACTGCAAAAGTAGGGCCATGAATTTTAGCCAATAGTTGGAATTCTAAAAAGCACACAAAAATGTCAAGGCCATTTACAGTTAATCCTTTAATGTTTTAGATATGCATATGAAATGAGTATACAGTATTATTTTAAGTGTCCATGTAAACTTTTCATTTCTTTGAGAATATATAAGCCAGGAATGGTGGCATGCACCATGCACCTAGAGTCCCACTACTTTGGAAGCTGAGACAGAAAAATCAGGTGAGCCCAGGATTGTAGGCCCAGCTAGGGCAACACAGTGTGACCCCATTCTCTCTTAACAAACAAGGAAATTTAAAAAAGAAAAAGAACATAAAAATGGCAGGATAAAATCACTGAAAATGAATCATAAAACCAATACCCATCCCTGGATAGGGAGGCTAATCTTTTCCAAATAGTTTTTCAGTTAAGTTTGTTCTTCATATTACAAAGAAAGAAGAAATGCTTACAAAATTAAATAGGCCTGAAGATCTCCTGTTGAGAAACATACCTTTTCCTCTAAACAGATTGAGTATCTGTTGATTTCAGATTAGGGATGTTTAACCCGTGTAATCTAAAGATGCCCTCAAAATATATTCAGAAGATTGAAGAAATTGTTTAGTTCATGGTAATTTCCTCAATATAATATTTAAGAACTACTTAACTTAGGGAAGCTTCCTAAAAGACAAGAGAGCCTTAAAAAAATCTGCACACTTAGATATGTAAATGTCAACTAAATGAACTAAATGGTATCAAATGCTAAAACTGCAAAAGGAAAAATACAAATAGTACAACAGAAAATTTCACTGTTTTGCACTCTTCTGATAGACTCTCTCAAAACCATCCAAGCATACACCCAATATCAGTGAACAATGGGAAGCTCTACTCTCTAAGAAAGTCTTTTACACCAATTATAGACAGGTGTCATCTAAACTAAAAAGCTATCTCTGAAAGACCAAACACCTAAACACTGACAATCGTGTAGCTATTTAATCAGATAATCCAAGATTCTGAGAATTTAACTGGCAAAAGAAGTTAAATCAGTTTGCATCTTATGCCTGGGCAGTATACAAATGTTAATGCAACATCTGCTGAATATTCTACTGTTCTATCATCTCTTTTCCAAATTTCTACTACCATAAGTTTATAAAAATCACACTAAAAAGGTACTACCACCAAGATTTACATAGCAGCTCTCAGAGTTAAATGCAACAGATCACCAATAATTCTTCTTAAAATGACCATGAAAAATATTCATTACAACATGCTTATCAGGGGATAGGGTTGTGGCTCAGCGATAGAGCACTCATCTAGCACGTGCGAGGGCCTGGGTTCAATCCTCAGCACTACATAAAAATAAATAAAATAAAGGCATTGTGTCCAACTACAACTAAAAAAGTAAATATTTAAAATAAAAAACATGCTTATCAGATGAGAATGTAGAACTCTGAGTATAACAAAAGCTACCAACACTTTCTATTTTAACTACTATTATCCTCCATTTTATAGCTGAACAAACAAACCAGAGCTGGGATTAGAGTACTTAGAGAGCCTACTATGTTTAAAGTACCACTTATGCCTAATACTTTTCAAATTCCAGGTTTGTGACAAATTCGATTCATTAAAGTCAATTTATGGATCATCCAGCATTTTCTTTTTTTTTTTTTTAACAGAGTATCACATGTAGTAAGGGTGATTTCTGGTTCCTTACACTTTTTTCAGTTACACACACATACACAAACACACACACGTATCTACTGTGTCACAGCATAAAAGTATTTCTTATTGCAGATCACAGTCAAAGATGTAGACGGTTTATATTCATAGAGCTTCCCTTTCATTTAAGAATCTAAAATGTTAGCTATTACTGGCAGTTACTGAAACATATCTAAAATTTAGTTAAAGTGATTCCCTCTGATACAATATTTTCTAAAGAAAGATATTGTTATTACATCCTTTTTTTATTTTGAAGGCTATAAAATTAATCTATTAAAAATTAGTAATTGGAAGAAGAAACTTCCAGATACCTGAGGAAAATTTATTTAGATAAATCACACAGTATCTTGAAATACATATTTCTAAACGAACATATTTATAGTCCTGAAGAGTAGACTAACACCAGTACTTTAAATAAAAAGTCTACTTCACCCTCAACCTCCTCCTCCTATAATGCTCCATCCAGAACATACCTGCTCTTTTTCTTGTAACAATTGCTCAAAGGCAAGAGCTTTCTCCTTCATCGACTGACATTCAAACTCTTTTTCTCGCAGCATCACAGAGAACTTCAAGTTTGTCTCTTGTAATGCTTGATACTCCGTTTCCTTTTCTTTGGATGTTTCTATTATTTTTTCATTTTCCCCTTTTAGTTTAGAAATGTCCATTTCTAAAATTAACATTCTCTCCTTTAGGTTTGTTACGGCTTGCCTCAATAATTCATTTTCATTCACCTTGTTAGTAAAATCTTCATTTGAAGAAAGTAACTGATCACTTTTGGCTTTGATTAAGAGGTCTTTTTCTTTAAGTAAATTTTGCAAAATGTCTTGCTTTTCTTTTAGCTGTTTAATTTCTGAATCTGTTTGTTCATGTTCTTTCTTTTCAATCCCTGAAGAAGCAGCAATTGAATCAGACAACCTGTGGTTATTTTCCTGTAGTGTCTTGATTGTGGCGTCTTTTTCTTGCAGTGATTTTCTCAGTTCTTCTACCTCTGCTGACTGGGAGGTAAGTGATGAAGCAGACAAGAGCTGGGGTGAAATAATATCAAGTTTTCCTAAAAGAAGGTCTTTGGTATTACAAAGCTGCCCTATGCAATGTTGAACTTGGGCTAATTCCTGCCCAAAATTTTTGAGTTTGGTTTCATTCAGCTCATAACTTTGGATGAGACCAGTGTAGTCTACTTCTAATTTAGAACTATTATCACTGTCAACCAAAACTTGGGCTTGAAGTTGTAGAAGTTCCTCTTGAAGTTGGGCTGACTCATGATGCATATTTTGGACTGTTGTCATTACCTGTTGTTTCCATTCTTCCATTTTTTTAACTTGCTGTTTTAATGTATTGCGTTCCTGTAGGAGCTCCTCAAACTGATTACTATTAACACCTCCAACTTCATTATCAGTGCCAGAAGTTTGTAAAACTTCCAATAAAGTCTGACATTTCTGACTTAATGCATCTATTTCAATGTCTTTTTCTCTAATGATACGAGATAAATTCTGCAGAGTTTCTCTAAACATATCTTGACCGCTACTTTCAAATTTGGTGGACAATTTTTTATTTTCTTCTTGAAGTTGGATGAGGGCTGCTTCTTTGGCAGCTACTATGTCCATCATTTTGTGATGTTCTGTTTTCAACTGACTATTTTCTTTTGTCTTCTCATTCAAAACAGCAAATACTTGTTCTCTTTCCATAGTGAAGGTCTGCAGTTGCTGCTGAAGGTAAACAACATCCTGGGAGTGAACTGAAGAAATTTTAGCCTGAAGAGCTTGTATCTCCACATCTTTCTGCTGGATAATTTGAGTGAGTTTACCAACTTCATCTTTGGACAGCTGATCAATCTGTTTGGTTAAAGATATATTCTTTTCATTTAGAAGTTTAATCTCAAGTTCTCGTTCTTTGATTCCTTTCACTAACTTTTCAGTTTCAGATTTCGATAGGTCATGTTTTTCACTTTCATTTTCTATATTAAGGCTTTTAACTTTTGTTTCTTGAAAAATATCAGAATTCTCTGTTTGAGTATCGCATCTTTCTCCAGGCAACTGGGCTTTTATTTGTTCAATAGTTTTCTGCAAATTCTTAATTTCCTCATCCTTTTCTAAAAATAACTGGGTATGCGCAGCATTCATCTGCTCATATTGGTATCTGAATTCATCCATTTCCTTCTTCTGCTCCTGTATAGACTGAAGTAGTTGCATTTTACTCTTGTTTTGATCTTCAATTATCTTTTGATGGTGTTTAATTTCATCTTCCAGATGATTTTTTATTACATTCAGTTGAGATACCTCCGATTCTAGTTCTGTGATACCATCAAGGGTTTTAGGCTCAGCCACAGGTACAGCTCGATTCTGCTGTTCCCTAAGTCTTTCCAATTCTTCTTGCAAATGATTGTTCTCTTCTTTCATGGATCCAAGAATTCTGTCCTTTTCTTCTATGGTTTGCCTTAAAGTTTCGTTTTCTCTTAAGGCCTGAGAACACTCATCTAAATCCTTTTGTAGTTCTGAACTTTTTTCTTTGAGTTTTTCAATAAAAACTTCTTTCTCATTTATAAGTTGTATCAATTGCTTCTGTTCTTCTAAATGAGATGCCAAAATTTCCTTAGTTTCTTTTTGATCAGCAGTCATTTGCTCAATATTCTTTTTGAGTCCTGCTATTTCAAAGTCCTTCTCTTGATTGAGTTGAACTACACGTTCATTTTCCAGCTGTAAGGCAGAGGTATTCAAATTACGTGCATTTGAGAGTTCCCGAATAGTCTGCCTGTAATTGTTTTCTTCTTCCAACAGTCTTTTTTCTGCCTGGTGCAGTTGGGCTTCTATCTGTTCTTTGTCTCTTTTTAGAGTCTCAATAATAGTGTCTTTTTCTTGAGAAATTTGATTGTTACCAGCAATAGATTCTTCCAACTTATGTCTTACCTCTTCACATGCTAAGATCAACTTTTCATTTTCTGTTTTGAGATCAAAAGCAACTTTCTTTAAATTTTCATTGAGCTGTTCTACTTCTGAAAGATTTTGCCTTAAGTTGCTAACTTCAGCTTCCCGTTCTTTAAGCAAGTCATCCTTAAAATTAGAGTCTTCATTCAGAGAAATTCTGAATTTAGACAGCTCGTCTTCAATTTGTCTAATGTGTTTCTTAAGCTCAAGGTTTTCTTGCTGGATGTTTAAACTATTTTTTTGTGATTTTTTTAGCTGATCTACTAAATCTTCTACTTTATCTTCAAGCTTCTGTTTGGTTAAGTTCAAATCACTAAGGCTCTGTTCACTCCGAGTTAACTTTTCGTTCTGCACTTCCAACTCTTTGGATATGTTCATTTTATCATCCTCAAGTTGATGAACTCTCTTTTTTTCATCATCTAGATCTTGTTTCAATTTCTTGATTACAAGGTCTCCTTCATTTTGTTGTTTTGATAGCTCATCTTTTATCAAAATCACGTGCTGAAAGAAAAGTTGTATGGTAACTTTACAACATTTTCTCATTTTAGTGCCTCAAGAAATTCTTACAAAATTTTGTACATTTAATAAAGAAAATTCTTAGTCATTTTTAATCTTTCTTAAAAACAACTTTCTTTCTATCCCAATATCCCCTACAAAATTTACAATATCTTAGAGCAGGTCCATTTTATCACTTTAGGGATAAGAATTTAAAACAAAAGAAGGTAAATGATATAAGTTGTATATTTTCAAATTAAATAACAGAGTCAACAAAAACTACAGACCACAGGCCTGTTTTGTATATAAAATTCACATGCCATGCTCATTTGTTTATACATCACAATTGCAGAGCTGAATAGTGGCAACTGAGATGACATGGCTTGCAAAGCCAAAATTATCTTATTAACTGGCACTCTACAGAAAAAGTGTCCCAGTCTCTATGACTAGAACATCAATAAACTAAAACATTACTCAAATTATAAATTTAAATTATGCCTATTATTTTTTGCATGTTCACCCAGTGTTCAATCTACTGAGTGGAATGTGCTTCCTCAGCCCTTACTATCTGTCATGTAGCATTACCTTTGTAGCTTCCTGGTTTTGATTGTCCAGTTCTTCTAACTCAGCTATCAGCATTTTCTTTTCATTGATACTCTGATTCAGTTCTTCCTCCTTTGCCTTCAAGTTAAGTTTTAAGTCATGTAATTGTACATTCAAATTCATGTCTGTTGAAGCTGTATTTTTAATTACTTCATATTCACAGCTCAATTTTGACAGTGATATCTGAAGTTCCTCCTTAAATAATAAAAAGGTAGAAGGTGGCAACACATGGTCCATTGAAGAAGAGACATCAAAATATTATATACACAAACGAATGGAATTTGGAGACCTATTTTAAATGCTTTGCATTATAAACATTAAACAATACCTCAATAATGATAAATAAAACTCAATAAGCCAGTCTTTATTCATGTGCAATTTTACTTCTAGCTTCAAGCAAAATTCTATAACCCTAGACAAGATGTGATAACTTTATGTTTACCTTCTATAGCTCTAACTCCTTCACACAAGTCCTTTCCCAGTAGAAAGCCTTTTCTATCCACTCCCACAGCTGCTTCCCTTAACCCCTCCTCCACCATACACAGACTTAACAAAACTCCTCAAGTCTCCTGGCTCTCTTTACTTTCACTTCTTAACACTCAGTCATTTAGTCACAGAGTAAATGAAAATGACAAATCAATACTCATTCACTCTAAAGTTCTCCCTCTGAAAAGTTTTCTTCTTTCCCCCTAGAATTCATCTCATTCCTTGCTTCTGTCAGAACAGGGAAACTTTTCTTGACTCAAGAAAACACCTGCCTTTTTCTTCCTTTACCTTCTAACAAAGCATGGACTAGGTTCCCTTCTCTCAAAGCTGACATTCCTATACATGGATCTATATATACATTTTATAGTCTATTACTAGATACTTAATGTTTTCTCCAAAATCCCAGAGGAGGGACAGTTCTCTTTGTTTCAACCTTATTTTGATAATGTGATTATGATGTTTGTGATTATGTATCAGTGTAAAGCCTTCCTTCAATTATATAGATTTTTAAAGATTAAATTTCTAAGGTATCTAAAGTAAATAAAAATCTCAAATTCCTTCAAATAAAAAGCCTAATAATACCTTATTAAAGAGACCTAGAGTTGTGTACAATGGTGCATATCCGTAATCCCAGTTGGGAGACTGGGGATTGAAAGTTCAAGCCAGCCTCAGCAACTTAGCAAGGCCCTAAGCAACTTAGCTTGATCTCATCTTGAAATAAAAAATAAAAAGGGCTGGAATGTGGTTACACACTCCTGGGTATTAAAGAGAGAGAGAGACAGAGAAAGAGAGAGCATGCGTGCGTGCAAGAAAAGCTACAAAAGAACATCTGCATAACAACTCTCATTTCCTTCCAATTCAAAAATTCATTCTGAAAGAACAGAAAAATAGAAAAGTATCCTCCTAAGTCTTCTAAAGTTGCCTCTATATTTAGGAAAACCACAAACATTTTTTTTTTCCAGTTGGATCTTAAGGGCACACATACTTATAGCATTCTTAACCAGTAAGCAGACCCATGACAGACATAAGGAAGAGTTACAATGGACTACTATAAACATCAAAAGAATGGAAAAAAGCTATGAAGACTAGCTACAGAATCCAAAAGTTTCATAAAAGGTTGCAGGTCCCCATATATGTGTAGAGAAGTCTTCAAACTACAAAGTACACATAGGTCAGTTAAAGAGCAGAATACAATGAGAGTAGAAACAGAATATATATAGTATGGTAATAAAAAAAAAAAAAAAAAGATTGGGAGATGTTATTGGCATTTAGTGGTTAGAAAGGGTGGTGGCAAAGATCCCATAAAGTATAGAACAGTGCAAACAACTAAGAATTTAAGAAATACTGCCTATATACCTAATGTGTGAAGGTACTGAAAACGTTAGTTTCTATAAGAACAGCATGTTAAGTAAAGTGACATCTGTATTTATTAAAATATTTTTTTAGTTGTCAATAGACCTTTATTTTATTTATCTATATGCTGTGCTGAGAATAGAACCCAGGGCCTCACACGTGCTAGGCAAGCGCTCTACCACTGAGCCACAATCCCAACCAGATATTTGTCTTTTTAAAGCAATTTCTATGTATAATCAAATATGCCTTACTATGTTTGAAAAGATGTACTAGAAATTGGTAACAAGAACTGCTTGTGGGAAAGAAGCCAAGCAATGAAGGAAGACGCAAAAGATTACTACTCTACATGTATTATCTGAAAATTTTCAGTAGGTACTAAACATATATATCAGTAAACATGTATTACTTTTTAAAAATTAAGAATTAAATTGAATTGAAACACTGGTCTTTAACTTAATACCAGTTTTCAAATGACCCTTTATGTAAGGACCTGCCATAGACAAGGAAATTTTCCTAAGTGGTCCAAACCCAAAAAATACCTCTTCCATAACAAATACTGTATTACAGAATCCTTTTTCATCCTTGCTATCAACATATACAAAAAAGATGCCATTTCTACCACTGAAACTGTCCCTCTTTATCCCTCTTCAAAACGAAATTCCTGTCCCCCATGATGGATCCATTCAGGATATACACTCCAGATCTTCCAACTCACATATGTATGCTGCTGCAGTCAGAACTCCATCTGATAGTAAAACAGGGCCTATCTTTTCCACTCATTATCTGTGTGCCTACTGGCTTATCTCTACATGTAAACTCTGGCCAGCCACTCACACTCCGAACCTTGACCGGGTACTTCAATTTGGTCTTATAAGAATCAATGAGATCAGCTTTGTCCTCAGGACTCTATTACCAAACATTCCATTTTGATATAAACTTGTCCTTAGCTGTAAACTGTAATACATAACACCATTATAATTCTCTCCCCATTTTTCAGCACCCACCTTTTCTTGACTCAGTGATGACTTCTCTTTTTCTAAAGCTTCAACATGCATTTTAAGTTTCAGATTGTCTTCAGCAAGACTGTTATCCTACAGAAATGTTAAAGTAGTATTTTCAGAAACAGGAAATTTCCAGTTCACAAAAAAAGCAGGCTACTTATACAATTGTGTGTTTCTACTCAGTTATTTCCTTAGTGATACATAAAGTTAGAAGACTATAACACTGGACCATTCAGAGCCAATCACTCATTTCAGACATTCTTAAGGAGGATTTCTTTATTATGTTTTTTTTTAAAAAAAATTATATATATATATAACCTCTAATTAATAGAAACTCCCTGAAGTTCTCAAAGAAAGTCAAAATGCATTCCTCATTTTGGTATAGCATCGTACAATGTCTCTATATACATAATTTTCATCAAATTGTTCTGCACAGTTATACCTGAATTTTTCAATTATAAAAATTTTTAACCTAATATAAATTTATGGTGCAAATAGTTTGTTTCTGTTATAAATTGGCAAACATAAAATTACTGTGACAAAAGTTCCCAGGGTATGTTCACATGAATTTGTTAAATAACACAAAACAAACTACTCTAATAAATTAAATTACTTTTTATTAGTAAACCAATGCTAAAAGCTTTCTTCTATAACATGAGCTTACCTGGTTTAAACCATTTAGCCTCATTATTTCATTTTCAGCATCTGTAAAAACAATTAAATGAACCTGACATTACAATTATTTAGAAAGTCTTTATAATAACCTCCCATACTAAACTCAGAAAAGCAACCCCATTAAAACAAAGTGTACTTATAAGAACCATTAGCAAGCTTTAACAGTTCTGGCAAAACATTTTTCTCATTTCATACTTCTATTTTTTCATTTCATACTTCTAGAAATCATATTAAATCAGTTAATCTATATTAAAATCCAATTCTTCAGAAAAGAAAGAATAAGTGTATTCTGTATGAATCATATGTTACTGCTTTCATAAAAATACTAACAACAACTGTGTTTCCAAATGAGCTGGTTAGTTTGGGCAACCAGGAATAGTATAAGGCTTAAGACTCGGGGAAAAGAAACCTCAAAAGTAACAAATATATATTTATATTACAACAATACAATAATATCTCTATTATCTTAGGTAATTTAAATATGAATGTACTACATACAGATCCATAAATAGAAGAGATTCTGGAAGAAGAATACAGAACAGAATACCGTGAGCTCAGCTGAAGTCATTCATTTAACATTTAGTTGGAGAAATATTGAACATATATGATGAGGCCAATACCAGATAAGGCAAAAATTTAGTCCTTGCTCTTAAAGAGCTTACAATTCAGAGGAGAACAAGTAAACATGTGATTATAATACAGTGTGATACAGCAAACAAAAAGGAATCATGAAAGCAAAAAGGGCAAACATCTAGTAGAGATTAGGTAGAGAAAATGGGGCCAGAGAAAAGTCAGTGCAAGTATTGGACAATGAAAGTAATACCTGTATTAAACCACTACACTAAGAGTTAGCTCAAAGAAATGTAAGGATACTCCACACAAAGAGAATGCAGCAAACAAAACAGTGACAGAGCTCAGACAAGACTGTTGGCTTAAGCTACGATAGTTCAATATGGTTAAAGCTTAGAATGGTAGAATGGGAAGAGTAGAAACTGAAGAGTAGACAGGTATCAGATCATGAGAGGCATTACATGTACGACTACGGAAGTTTAGACTTCATCTTGAAGTTCCTGGTGAGCAATAAGGTACTTTTTAAAAAGTAGGAGAACAATCTGCTTTGTGTTTTTGAAAATTTATTCTTGCTACAAAATGAAAAAATAAAATAAATTGAAGGAGGCAGCATGGGAGCCTGAGAATTAAATTTTGTAACATTGACATGAATAATAATTGACATGGACCACCTTTTCTAAAGAGAACTCTGCAGCAAGTAACTCACAAAACAACAAACAAGGAAGATATTATTATTATTCCAACCATATACATGAGAAAACTGAGGCAGAGAGATGTTAACTAACTTACCCAAAGTCATCTAGTTAGTGACAAAAGTTGGATTCCAGCCCAGTCTTATTCTTAAACACTACGCTATTATGCTCAAGCGGGCACAGTGGTGCATGCCTGTAATTCCAGCGGCTCCGGCTCAGGAGGTTGAGACAGGAGAATAGGGAGTTCAAAGTCAGCCTCAGCAATGGCGAGGCACTAAGCAACTCAGTGAGACCCTGTCTCTAAATAGAATACAAAATAGGGCTGGGGATGTGGCTCAGTGGTCAAATGCCCCTGACTTTAAACCCCAGTACACATAAAAACTGAATAAATAAAAAGAGATCTACCATAGTTAACACGAGCAAAAGCAATTATGATTAACTGAAATGAATCATGGCAATGGAAATGGGAAAGGGGATAAGGACTAGAGCAGTAGGATTTATTTAAGCAAATGATGGATCACCTGATATAATTAAACTTATTTTATAAAACCGCGGAGTTATTCTGATTGAAACCAAATGAGAAAGAGGTCCAGGACCTTACACTTCACTGCCTTCCCTTTACCTGCATGGCAGCTCTCAGGACAGATGAACCTGTGAGAAACCCTGGAACTCCTCTGGGATATAATCCTGAAATATCACTCAGCCAGAGAAAAGAAAAGAAAACCCAAGGACTTGTCAGTGATGACTTCCAGCATTCTGATTTGAGAGACCAGTGAATACTACCAATCACCAAGGCTAGGAAAGGAGAAGTTGACAATGATTTTACTTTGAACCTAACTTTAGTTCAAAAACCCAGGTGATATATAGAGTTGGCCGACTAGATCAGCAGCTGGAGAAAAAAGGCAGCTGAGGGGTACAGATGTGGGGAGTAACAAGCACACAAGGATTGGAAACTTCCAGAGCAGTAATGAATGAGTTCATAAAGTGAGGGTTTATACTGTGAGAAAATAATGAAGTGCAAAATAAAATGCATCTTTTCAAGCTGAAAAGCTCTCATTATATGTTCCTGGAATGTATGAATACTAGTGATTTATCTATCTAATTTAATATTTTTGTACCAGTGAACACATCAACTTGAGCATGGAAAACAGTAGATGACCTAAAGTTCTTATCTTTTGGGCCTCTGCTTCAATTTAGGAAATCATTTAAAAGGATAACAATGGACTTGTAAAGATGGAATGCTGCATTACCTGAATGGAGAGTCTGGGCTGTGATAAGTTATAGAAAGTATTCAGTTCTGTGTAGACTAAAAGAAACAGTACCTCTCCACAGCAATGTGTGCACTGGATTTACTTCTCAGAAATCCACGAGGCTTCCTAAATCGCTGACTTCCTTGTAAATACATAAAAAATAAAGGAAGGCTAAGAGACACCTAGTCAATAATTGACCCATTTTGATAGAAAAGTACTTTTTGTTGCCTATTAGCTATGGCAATGAATTCACACCAAACAATTTTAATCAAATTATAGACGGTTCCACAAATACTCCATTTTCATGAAGTATTTGTCTACTAAAGTATGTGTGTCTCTAAAAACAATTCCAAAGCACTGAAACAATAATCTGAAATAAGTCCCAAGCATTCTATACCAGACAGGGCTTGTTGCAGCCTGAGCACTTCTTCCACTGTTGAACTCTGTGGAAGAATTTTTCCCTTTTCTGCCACAGTAGCACTCTGCTCCATCCCAGAAGGCTGCAATTTACTACATTCCAGTTTCAAGTTTTCACACTGTTCAATCATTTGTCGCTTTTCCACACTGAGTTGTTCCTGTTCTCTTTTCAAGGTATCTCTGTCATTTTCTGCAGAAGATAATTTTTTATTTATGTCTTTGATTTTTTCCTCAAGTTCTTCAATCTTTCTTTTAGATTCTACTTTTTCAGTTTGTAGAACCTGAATAGTCTTCTGCATCTCACAGATTTTAGGCTCATCAGTTACTATAACTCCTGAGTCACCTAGAACATAAACACAGTCAAGGACATCATGTGTTAAATACCAAGAAATAAATACTTACTATATATATAACTAAGATTCGAGTTCCGAACTTGGAAAGCTTAAAAAGAAAATTTAAATTACTATCTTAAACTAAGCACTTTAAAAATGAATAAAAAATTGGAGAAACATCAGAATCAACTACTAAAAAGCCAATGTATCTGAAAATATCTTGAATCATTTATCACCAACATATCATCACCAAACAATGCAACAAAGAAATCTACGAGTTGTAATTGTTTACCATAAAAGCAAAAAGGACCTTTCCATTTTACAGAATCTTGAAAGCTATGTCATTTTCTAAACATCTGCCAAATGAGTAAACCAATCACTTACTCATTTTTTGGAACTTAGTCCAAGTTTACAGCAGTGTCCTGGTCTTAGAGTACTAGTTTGCCATTTGTGTCATCTAATATGTGAAACTACTAAAATTAATAACCTTGTTGTAACTGATTTTCAAGTTCTTCAATTCGTTCTTCATAGTCACGTAACTCTTCTCGATGCCGGCGACTTATCTCTGCCAGTTTCTGTTGATGTGCATTCTGCAAAACTGACATTTCATGTTGATGTTCATCTATGTCTCGACTTCGGTTTTGTTCAAGTACCTTAAAAAATAAAACAAAATTAACCACATTTATGATCAATAAATTTACCTAAGCTATTTATTTCACTATCATCCAAGGTCTGTATTATTAAAATTACTTCTCTAAGCATATTAAGGCTGAAAATAATTTAACACAGTTCCAAAATTTGAACAATTTGGAAAGACTCCCCCTCCTCCATCCTGTCTTAAACCTTAAAAACAGTCATCTCTCTCCACCACCCTCTGCCCCACACGAATACTAGGAACTGAACCCAGGGCCTCTGACATGCTAGGCAAGTGCTCTACCACTAAGCTATATCCCCACCCCTTTTCATTTTTATTTTGTGACAGTCTCACTAAGTTGCCCAGGGAGGGCTCAAACTCATAATCCTCCTGCCTCAGGCTCCCCATTAGCTGCCATGACAGGCTATGTCCCACCTCACCCTATAGTTTTTCTTTTTTCTTAGTATTGGAGATTGAACTCACAGGCACTAGACCACTGAGACACATCCCCAGCCCTATTCTGTATTTTATTTAGAGACAGGGTCTCTTTGAGTTGCTTAGTGCCTCGCCGTTGCTGAAGCTGGCTTTGACATCACAATCCTCCTGCCTCAGCCTCCCAAGCTGCGGGGATTACAGGCGTGTACCACTGAGCCCAGCTAGTTTTTCTATTTTTTTTTTAAATATTTTTTTAGTTTTAGGTGGACACATATCTTTATTTTATTTTTAAGTGGTGCTGAGGATCGAACCCAGTGCCCCATACATGCTAGGAGAGTACTCTACCACTGAGCCACAACCCCAGCCTGTAGTTTTTCTATTTTTAATGAGGGAACATCAACAAGAAAATACTGAAAACAAAAGATGAACATAAACTTCTCCTTTTCCAAACAACATATTCCACCATTACCAGCATCAACCCTTTGAGAAATCTGTACCTGTTTTCCTACTACCACTATTCTCTTGCTCAGCCTTTCCTTCTCCAGGCCTACTGGAACTCCCAACTGTCAACCAAAGTGCTTTATTACCCAAGTTGAGACCAATAATGCTTTTCCAGAAACCTGGACATGGAAGCATCCTGAGAGCTGCATCCTTAAAAGTCTGTATACTGTATCTTGCTAGATTCCTGATGCTGCTCCCATTTCTGTCCTTCCTGATGCCAGAATGCTCAACTCTTCCTTCAGTCCTACAGACAGACTATTGTGGAGCCTTCCAGTAAATCCTCTTTTGTTTTATTTAGCCAGAGAAAGCTTTTACTGCTTATAACTTAAGAATCCTAATCTATACATTAGCTATTTTTTCTTGAGGTTTAAGTGTAAGCCATTCTTTAATCCTATGCACTTCTGTGCCAGCACTGGACTCAAAGCCTTATATGTAAAACTCAAAACAAACCTACACGGTAGGTAAAACAACCATATCTAGTTTACTGATAGGCAAAAGAGAAGCTTAGAAAGGTTAAGAAACCTGCCCAAAGTAGAACCGTGGGAAAATAGCATATCCAGGTCTCACTCTGGAACTTATCACATATTACTATTAGAATAACAATAAACCCCCAAAGTAAAAATTCTGTATCTGACAATAATTTCAGCACTAAAAGCAATTCACTATCACAATAAACATATAAACTATGCCTTTTCTTAAAAGAAATAATAATTGACAGAAACTAGAGAATTTCTACCACTAAAAAATAGTAGCATTTTATTTTGTCAATATCCTTCAACTCTAAAAACCTTGAAACTTCAGCAAGCTTGAAATTCTGTTAATGCAGTTTTATGAGACAGAGTACACACACATATGAAAAATAAACTACTGAAAAAATGTTCAAAACCAAATTATTTTGGAAAGAGATATTTTTATATACCTTACTTGTCATAAAGTTAATATGAACCAGTTAAAAATGTATATCATAATCTATAATCACTCTTAATTAAGACTTTTAGTGATGCTTATATTTTTACATATAGATTTTAGATGCATAAAAGTTAATGACAGGGGCTGGGGATATAGCTCTGTTGGTAGAGTGTCTGCCTTGCATGCACAAGGCCCTGGGTTCAATCCCCAATACCACACACACACACACACACACACACACACGTCAACGACAAACAACATCTGACCTACCTTGATAGTATTGTGTAGTTTGCAGATTTCATTTTGATCAGAATTATGTGTTCCCTGTGCCTTAGAAGTTCAGAAAAAGAGAATCAGAAAACAATACCAATTTTCTTATAAAACAGAAAGTCACTAACTTTATTAAAAGATACTTGTCAAAAAAGAAGAATTTCCCAGATAGATTCTAACTCAAGGATGCCAAGAACTTTGTTCAGTAGAGAGTAATACATAATAAAAGATACTAATATATAAGAATGTGTTAAATAATTGGGGAGACAACAGTTTTGCAAAATATCTAAATTTAAGATTAAAAAAAACAGTTTATTTATTTATGTAGCTTAAATATTTATTTATGTATCTTAAATATTCAATGTGAGAATAATTAAGCAGTTTTCTAAAAGGCACTTTCTGAAAGCTACCCAATATTAGTGCTAATGATGATCTAGTAAAAATCTTTTTAAAAATGATTTTATATATATATATATATATATATATATATATATAAATATATATATATATATATATATATTTTTAGTTGTAGATGAACACACAGTATCTTTATTTTTCTGTGGTGCTGAGGATCGAACCCAGTGTCTCACGCATGATGCAAGGCAAGCACTTTACCACTAATAATAGCCCCAACCCTATTATTTAGTTTGAAAAGAAAATAAAAGAACTTTGGATTTTTCTTATTCAAAGCTGTATGTTTTTCATTTACCTTTTTAAAATGTTTACTTGATACTTAATAGCTGTACATATTTATGGGGATACAAGTGATGTTTTGATTTATTTATACATTGAGAAAGTTCAAATCAGGGTAACTAGCAGTATTATCTCAAACACTTAGCATTTAGTTGTGGTGATAACATTCAAAATTCTCTCTTCTAGATATTTTGAAATATACTATACACTACTGTTATCTACAGTCACCCTAGTACCCAAAAGATCATCATAATTTATTTCTCCCATCTAACTAATTTTGTACCCACTGACCAACCTCTCCCCATCCCTCCCTCTACCCACCAATGCGCTAGGTTACCATTCATTTATCCTTATTAACACTTAACTATATATCATGTTAATGAACCAAAAAGACGGTATAATGGAAAGAATACAGTATTTGGCAGTCAAGAGATATATATTTGCTTTGTAACTTAAATCACTTTGACAATGAGGGTGTTACTTTTGGAAATAACTTTGTTTCCCTGTTTGTAAAACAGAAGTAATGAATATTTCCTGTAGCTATTAAGGATAATATACATAGACATATATGCCTCACTAGAAAATTAAGCCCCTATAAGGTCTCAAATATGCCCTTTTCACCTTCATATTCTAGAAGAGATCTATCACAAACTAGGCAAAAACCCATCTTCCCCTATGAAATCTTACCCTCAACAACATTTCTTAAAATGTATCCCCCTTGGGATTAATCAGAATCACCTGGGAGTATGTATTCATTTAAACACTGTTTCCAAGGCCCTGAAATAAATTACTAAATAAATCTCCAGAGATAAAACAGGAAATCCCTGATATTATCAAGTTCTTCGGGTTATTTTTACACATACAAAACTTAATTACTGCTTTTTAGAGATAAAATGGACAGACTGCCCTTACTACAGTTTACTTTAGGTATTGGGAATGTTTAGCAACATGGGAAGCATGCAGATCATTTTAATTAGGAAGATTTCTCCTTTACATAAACTAGATTACATTCACAAAAAGAGAACAAAAAAATCTAACTATTTACTTTGTTTTTCCCCCTACATGAATGAAGTTAAATCCAAGTTAACAATGTATCAATTTATTCTAAGTCTTGTGTCTTTTGCCAACCTCCACAGTCTATAAAATCTGATGTGTAAGACAAAAAAAAAAAAAAAAAAATGTTCCTTGGAAAAAAGTTTATATCTCCCAAATAGCAAGTATTTCATTTCTGATACATGTGAAAAAAAAAAAATCACAAAATAATTTAACATATTTTATAATACCAATGATCAGATTTTCATTTTATATATTACTAGAGCTAACAAAAATCTCAGATAAAAATCCAAGGAAATAGTGTCAAACATAGTGCTCTGGAGCCCTAGTGTTTCCATCAAAGAAGTCTCAGAGACTTCAGGGGGAAAAGAAGCTAGCTCCACTCAATTCTTCTTTCTTTTCTTTTTTCTTTCTTTCTTTTTTTTTTTTTTTTTTAGTTGAACATGGACACAATACCTTTGTTTGTCTTATTTATTTATTTTTATGCAGTTCCAAGGATCGAACCCAATGCTTCACTTTGCAGGGCAAGCACTCTGTCACTGAGCTATAACCCCAGCCCCTCAATTTTTCTTTTGATTCCTGGGCTTGTAACTTTTATTTTGAAAAATGGATCTGTTGCTCTAAAATTTTTGAAAAAAAAATTTCCAAATATTGTACAGAAGGGGAAAAGGAGGCTGAGAGAGAAACATAACCTGACCAAAACCACTGAGAGAACCACTGGCAGAATTAGAATATAGATTTTCTATTTTCTTATCCAGGATTATTTCTGATACCAAACACTTCACACACTGCTTCCTAAATAGCATCAATATTTTTACTCATTCACAGTTTTAAAAAAACTCACCCACATTTTACCTACCTCAGCAATATGCCTCCAATGGCCAACTTCAGATTCAAGTCTTGAAACTTCAATTGACAATCTGTTTATTTCTTGTTGTGATGAAATTATGTCACTAAAGTCCATGTCATCATCACGAAAGGCTGAAAAATGACTACTCATTCCGTAAACAAATGAAGACGGTGCAGTGGTTGTTGGTATACCACCAGCTCCTGACTGTACCGATTGAGCAGCTGACTGTAGTTTCAACAATTGATCTTGTAGTGCAATCTGTCTTGCTTTAAGGTGGCTGATTTCTACCTATATATTTATAATCCATGTTTTAGAGAAAGTACTTTCAAACAAATTGATCTTTTTAAACCTTCATTATATTAAAAGGTAGAATGATTTGTTTAAGACTAATCATTCACTAAGTATCTTTTAAGTGAATCCAAGTCACTTACAACATCCCAACTATAAAATTTTTATTTAAAAAAACATAATTACCATAGTTAAAGCACATATATTTTAAGTAGTATGAAGATCAAAATTTTACTCATATATTAAGTAAAACAATAAATTTCTCAGTTAAACACAAGTTTCCTATCTTCTATGAAAGGGCTAATACAGGATATTTCTTAGGGCTCTGTTGGTGATCATCAAACCTTATGATGAGAAAATGAAAAGCTGTGTCAATCTATATATTAAATTTTCTTTAGGATTTCTGCTGGAGGCCAGTAGTGGTACATGCCTTAAATCTCAGACTCAGGAGGCTGAGGAGGTTGAACTGCAAGTTCAAGGACAGCCTCAGCAACTTAGTGAAACTCAGTCTCAAAATAAAATCTAAAAATAATTTTAAAGGGCTGAGGATGTAGCTCTATGGTATAGCACCCCTATGTTCAATCCCTGGTACTTGAGAAGAAAAAGAAAAGGAAAAAGAATGAACAAACAAACATCTATTGCAAGAGTCTTATGTATCTGATTATGGCTGAATTTAGTCTTAAAATGCACCATGAATGATAATGCTTCTCTATACAACACAGCTGGAATAATGCTTTGATTTATAGATCCATTCTTTGTAGATAACACAGTAAACCCATGGTTATTAGCTCATGAGTCTCAGAAGGAAATAATGCACTCAAAGAGGCCCTGGCTTTAATACTGGCAACAAGCAGGCAGTGAAAATCTGACCCTATTGAGGAAGAGAACAGTATACAAAAGTTCTGAAACCCTGAGCAGAGTTTTGATTAAAGGCTGGCCATACTAAATCATAACCCCCCAAAATTATGAACATAGGACCTACCATAATGCCACATCCATTCTGAGTGAGAGAATACTCAAGTAAGCCATCTAGACACAACTGAAATAACCTTAAACTAGCATAAGACACTACCATAATATGGTAGTATAAGACATTACCATAACCAAGGAAAACTTGATACTGGGAAAATAGCCAGGAGGTAGCAACATTTCTACAGGTGTAAAACTAATCAATTAGTCAAACAAAAACCAAATATGTGTATACTTTATGTCATAACAAACAGATTTTTCATATTAGAGCCCCTTTCTCTAGTACAGACTTACAATAGTATATAAATTTTATTCTTTTTCCCATAAATGATATGAGATAAACCGCATCTTCAGGGAATAGAGACATCACAAAGAGTGTAGCAAACAGATTCAGAAAACAGCAGAGGTATAGTTATGTATTATCATTCATTCTACTAAAAAATACTGAAATCCATATTTTAGATATATTTTTAACACAGAAAGAGTTGTCATTATACCATAAATATTTACATCAAGTTTTAGAGCTACTCAAGTGCAAGCTTTAATAATAACAACAAATTCTAAACAGTTTAATGTGTTCTCTAATATCAATAGTTAAAAAGAAAATAAAATGCCAAAATTTTCCACACAAGTGTTTCCAACTATGGGGTGAGCATTAGAATCATATGGAAGCTTCTGAAAATTCCCAACATCAAGGTCCCTTCCCAGTACACTAATCTTCCCAGGATACTCAGAATCTTCTGAGGTGTATGAACATGTATATTTTTTAAAGGTGTCACTAATGATTCAGCTGCAAACCCCTGGGTAGGAATTACTATTTCTATCATCATGTCCATTAAGTCAGTGCTACTCAAAGTGTGATCCAGGGATTGATGCCATGTACATTTGCTACCAGTCCACAAATACAGAAATTCAAAGAGTAAAGTCTAAAGACTTTGAAAGCAGTTTAGCAATAAACTGTTATATCTGTGTTGAATCTTTAAAAAAGAGAAAAAAAAATGGGTTTGTAAAAAATCAAGCTCTAGAGCTGGGCACGGTGGCACATACCTATAATCCCAATGGGTTTCACAAAAAAATGATGTACAATATAAAAGGTCACAGAATAATAGCCTTTAAAATGCACTTTCAAATTAAAGCTACAAATGCATTTTGTATACATTTTACCCTTGCAGAAATTTGTTTTTATTATATTATGTAAAATTATAAATTGCCATCAGTTTGAAAATTAAACTCTAAAGCTAGGCACGGCGGCACACACCTGTAATCCCAATGGGTTGGGAGGCTGAGGCAGGAGGATCATGAATTCAAAGCCAGCTTCAGCAACTCAGCAAAGCATTAAGCAACTGAGTGAGACCCTGTCTCTAAATAAATTACAAAAAAAAAGGTTGGGGATGTAGCTCAGTGGTTATGTGTCCCTGGGTCCAATCCCCGGCACCAAAATAAAGAAAATTAAAGCTCCACTTTAAATGTGTATATTTACCCTCAATTTTTAACCTTAGCATGTCACTAAGGAACTAGAAACCAATTCATCTAACTTTAAAAACCCAAATAGGAAGTTACAGCAGAAATGAATTCTTAGTAAACAAAGTGAGTATTGAAATAATATGGATAATAAAATAGGAAATGGTTCAATTCAAAGTAAGTTTTTATTGGACTCCACTTATGTACTAAACATGAAAAAGAATTCAGTAACAGCATGACACATAGAAACATAGTCCATATTTTAAGGATGCACTGGTTAAATTATATAAGATCACTAATACTGCAAAGATAAGCCAATTCCAAAACAAACATTTCAATCAAACTAGAAAAAAGCAAAAACATTTATAAAACAGTAAAAATCAATTATAATATACTTAATTTTATTTTTCCATGGAAAATCACATATATTCCAACATAACAGACACTTGTATAGACAAAGCATTTTTTTAAAAAGAAATTATCACTAAAAATGACCATGTTGATTTAAAACAACTTAAGAAAATAGTTAAGAATAGTATTGAGATTATGAAATAGTTAAGAGATTTCATAAAATTAGAAATTATGAGCAACAGATGCCTGAAGATATTTTATAAAAAAAACTTTTCTTCTTTTAGAAAGTAGAAATTAATCTCTGCAAAGGTTAGTTTTTATAATATAAATAAAAGTTTACCAAGTTTTATTGAATTCAATACCCTTTCAATATTTTTATGGATCTAAAAATAATGGTGAAATAAATACAAAGTAATTGTAATAAACTTTACCTCTTTCTGCTGCAGTTGATTTCGGTAACTTGCAGACTGATGCTTTATTTGAAGCTCTGATGCTTCATGCTTTTCTTCCAGATCAGTACAATACTTTTTAAGTCTTTCATTCTAGAAGCAAAGAAAGTATTTTCAACAAAAAGAATACAAGTAAAACAGGTTAGTGATGGCTACTGCACAGCACTGTTTCACAAAAAAAATTGATGTACACTATAAAAGGTCACAGAATAATTGCCTTTAAAATGCACTTTCAAATTAAAGCTACAAATGTATTAAGCATGTTTATATAGAATATGCCTAATCCTAAATCAAATTTGGGTGTAGATTTTGCTTCTTTGATTTTATGCTACAAAGTCACTGATCACAGGTTTGGGGCTGTGGCTCAGTAGTAGAGTGCTTGTCTCGAATATGTGAGGCACTGGGTTCGATCCTCAGCACCACAAAAAAATAAAAATGAAATAAAGGCATTGTGCTCATCTACAACTAAAAAAAAATATGTAAACAAAAAAGAGTCAATACATAGTTAAATGAATTAAAGAACATTGTCTATTCTGAGTATATGTTTGTTTTGAAACAGGGTTTCACTATGTTGACAAGACTGGCCTAAAACTCCTGGGTCCAAATAATCCTTCTGTCTCAACCTTCTGAGTAGCTAGGACTACAAGTAAGTATCACCACACCCAGCTTTAGATATGTTTTCAAAAACCAGAAAAATTCAGAATAAAAACCTGGACTTTAAGTTAAACTTAAAATATTACCATTTCTAAATAAACGTTTTAAAATTATCACTTTATTCATACCTCGTGTAAATCATTTGTAAAAATGACAATATAAAAATATTAAGAGTACACTGGACGAAAGATCACAAATGTGAGGACTACTTTCTTGGCACACAGAGAATTAAGTTAGCTTAGGGTGGTTGCTTTTACTTACAACTAAATAATCTTAACTAAGTTAGGCGTGGTGGCACACACTTGTAATCCCAGCAACTCAAGAGGCTGAGGCAGAAGGATTCCAAGTTCAAAGCCAACCTCAGCAACTTAGCAAGGCACTAAGCAACTTAGTGAGAACCTGTCTCAAAATAAAAAATAAAAAAGGGCTGGGGATGTGGCTCAGTGTTTAAGTGCCCCTGGGTTCAATACCCAGTACTCAAAAAAACAACAACAACAACAACAAAAACACCCTAACTAATTCAGTCAGCTAAAACATTTAACATCTGTAAGCAAATCTAATTTGTAATGGAAAACACACTACTCTTCTATACTAAACTTTCTAAACAGACTATTCAGAAATATCATTATCTTTTTTATTTTATTTTAGTTTAACAGCAGTGAGTCCTGCATGGTGATATGTTGCATAGTTACAGAAAAGATTATGATGTCATAAGAGTTTTAATGCCACCAAGAATCACACAGTTAAAATTACCTGACAAATAAAGCCCTTTTTTCCTTTAGTATTTGAGTACCTCTGGATAAGTACCAATGAGGAAGCTAGATCACATTTGAGTTTTACCAAAAATAAACATTTCTAAACATTGAAATCATACTTGCCATAGACCCAATAGACATTCACTGAGCAGGTTAACCATATTTACTTTTCTCCCCAAATGGGTCACGGGGAATTCACCTAGGTTAATGCCACTCACACACATACTTCTGCTGTTTAATTTTTCTGGGTGAGTCTGTACCAATGAGTACTTTTTAAAGAATTTCCTATCTCAGCCATTAAGTTCATCTGTCACTACAGCACCTACTTTTCTTATTAAGTCATTACTGCTAACGTCTCTTAGTGCCACCAAATTGTCTACACACAGAAAGTTAATACAGTACAGTTCTACAGGGGTTTCGCTACTTTCAGTTCCACAAACTCACCTTGATATTCTAGACCAGAGTTCAATAATGTTTGTTAGTAGTATTTTCTTACATCTAAATCCAATGTTCTTTTTATAACTTAGTAGAAAGGAAACACACTTTCCACAGTGCTCTAACAATACCTTTTGCTGCAATTCAAGTGCTCTCTGTTATTATTCCAATGCTAACTAGTTGACTTTTATTCCTTTACAATAGCTTCTACTGTGAAATCCTTTCCTTTCAAGGCTTTCCTTTGAACCCCTACCAAGTTTCCCCATTAAGCACAATGTCTAGAACTAGTCACAACTAGACATTAATTACAAATAAAACAGCAAAATTAACTTGCTATTCCTATATTCTTAACTTCTCTGTACCCAAATATAATTCTCTCAACATTAGAATATTAAAAAGCTCTAGATTAAACAATCCCATTCTTCATATCATACTTAAATGTACTACCATGATTTAGCATTCCTTAATAACGATAAACTTTTGCCCCTATTACTTCTACTTTTGGCAGTTTTCCTACTTTCAATATGCAGAAGTACAGAGGAAAATATTAAAGAACAACAAACTGTTGTCATGAAAATAAATTCTTCATCTAAGTAAGCCTCCTAAAAGTTAAAAACAAACAAGATACACAGAGGAAAAAAAGTGGTAAGCAATGTAAACAGAGAACTGAAATCCTGAATAACTTCATGGTTTCAAAAGAGATAAAAATCTAAGTTTGAAAGTAGTCTTCAATTTTCCTTACCTCGGATCTTAGTGTAGATTCAGTACCTTCAACTTCCTTTCTCTGACAATTAGGTAAACCTGCTACAAAAGAAATTCATATATTGAATATTTGGTCAACACCATATGATGGAATAAATAGGCTTTCTGTGTGTGTGCGCTGCAGATTGAACCCAAGGCCTTGAACATGCTAGGCAAATAAATGCTCTACTACTGAGGCTCTACATTCCCAGCCCTAAGTAGGCATTTTAAGAAAAACACATTTCACCGAGTTTAAATAGAATAGTATGGGCTGGAGTTGTGGCTCAGTGGTACAGTGCTTAACTAGCATATGTGAGGCACTGAGTTCAATTCTCAGCACTGCATATAAATAAATAACATAAAGGTCCATCAACAATTAAAAAATAATAATAAACAGAAAGTAGGCTGATACAAGAGCAAATTCAGAAAATATTTATCATCTGATTTTCACCACAACTTATCATTGCCACTAATGTTCTTCATTGTCACATGGGTCATTCTCTTTGCCAATCTCCTACACCTTAGGATGTCTACCTTTAGTAGCTACTACAGCAGACAAAAAGTGCTGACTTTCTCAGTGAAAAAAACACAATGTCCATCATTTTTCAATGTTTACTACTTGCTGAGAGTATTTATCAAAATTTTGTTACAGGAAATTAGAAGTTTTTGTAAATTTCTCTTTTTGGCTTGCCATAATTTTAAATGAAACATATTCAACTGGGGCTTTAAGGCCCTATTTCTACTTCCTTTTTTTTTTTTTTTGGTACTGGAGACTGAACTCAGGAGGACACTCGACCACTGAGCCACATCCCCAGCCCGATTCTGTATTTTATTTAGAGACAGGGTCTCACTGAGTTGCTTAGTGCCTTGCCATTGCTGAGGCTGGCTTTGAACTCGCGATCCTTCTGCCTCAGCCTCCTAAGCCACTGGGATTACAGTAATGCACACCATACCTGGCTTGTATTCTATTTTTAAAGAGAAAACAAATGAAACAGGTATTAAGCAAGTCCTATTGTAATACCAAGCGAAAGGAATAAAAGCTTTGAGCAACTCAGCAGATTTCTGATCACTCACATTTTTATTGACCATCCACTGTGTACCAAGGAAGATGCCACATACTGGACATATAAGGAGAAAGAAAAAAATACCATCCCTACCCTGGGCATCAAGGAAAATGAGCAATTATAACTCAATATGGTAAGTGTTGCTAGGCAGAGATCCTCAAAGTTCTGTTAGAACACAGGCAATCAATTCAACTTGCGTAAGAGTCACAATGATTTCACCAAGTGCCTGATCTGTGAGCAGGATTGCTGGAAAACTGTTTTCCAGGCAAAGGAGGAAGTAGAGAAGAAAAGGCTTTCTGTGAAGAGGTTTGGAGTTCTGTAGGTGCCTGACAAAGTTCTGTGTGACAGAAGCTCTAGGTATTGGCACACATGCATATATAAATAGATTAGGCATGGCAATTGGCAAGGCAATTAGAAAAGGAAGGTTGAACCCATATGGACAATTGTTGGCCTTCTAAAACTAAGAAATTTAGATTTTATCTGTGATAGGTCAAGAAATTTTTAAGCAAATTTGCTTTTAGAAAGTAACTGACACTGGACACGGTGGCACATCCTTATAATCCCAGGGACTTGGCAGGCTGAAGCAGGAGGAAAACGATGAACTGTCAATAGACAGCTGCCAGCCTTAGCAACTTAGCAAGGTCCTAAGGCCCTAAACAATTTAGTGAGAACCTGTTTTTAAAAAAAAAAAAAAAAAGGCTGGGGATGTGGCTCAAAGGTTAAGCACTCTTGGGTTCAATCCCTGGTACCAAAAAAGAAAAGTAACTGGCAATACAGCAGAAAATAGAATGGAGTGCAAAAAGGATGAAAGAGCACTGAAGAAGTAGGAGTAACAAAGGAAAGTACAATTTTGACATAGGCCACAAGAATTTGGTGGCCAATGGGAAGTAGATAAAAGACAAAACATGACTTGAAGATTTCTACTTCAGAAAATTGAGTAGATAGTGAAACTGCTAAGATTGATATTATGGGAGTACCTTTAGTAGAGGAACAAAATTGAGGTCAAAGGAATAGCCAACTGCTTTCACCTATCTGAGATACAAAGTTAAACCTAGTCACTTCCATAGTTTTCAGCCTCTGTTTCTAACTGCCCTCAAGTCCAAACAACCTTTTACTAGACACATGAAGAAAATCTTTCATTACCATCTCTAAACCTAACATATCTCCCACCCAAATAGAACTGGAAGCAGTAAAATGGATTTTGATTTTGGCAGCTCCACAATCTCACTTCTTCTCAAATAGACACCACATCGAAAAACTAAATGTAAGCACTTTTTATCAAACCATTTTTCTCTATTTCAACCAAATAAATATGAAGGATTGGTTAAATAATGATAAAAACAAAACTAGGGGGCTGGGGGCTAAAAAACTCAGGGGTAGGGCAGTGCTTAGCATGAGTGTGAGCCCATGGGTTCAATCTCCAGCACCCCAAATTAAACCAGAATGCTAATTTATAAAATTATAAGAAATAAGTCTATCAAAAGAATTGCTCTCATCTGAATGAGCAGCCCATTATCTCCCATAGTCATAGGCAGACTATGATTTTAAAATTCTCTTAATCCAAACCCTACTTGCTAAAAGAAATGTCAAGAAATAAAAATGGTGATTAACTAGAGCACTCATTACCATGTCCCTTTGGGTCACTGTTCACTAACAAAATACGGTGAACTGTCAAGAGACAGTTGCTAAGGAATCCCTAAAAAAGGAGGATCTTCCCCATTCCGTTCCGTTGAAATACGGGAGAAACGGGCAATTATATAAAAAATACATTTTTAGCTGGAATGCTGTAACATGCCATCACTATGAGGAAAGGCACAAAACAATTTACCTGAAAATCATAGGCATATTTCACTAACAAATAATATACTCAAGACAGCGTAAAGAAGTCACCAGATGTTTTAATCATGAGTTATTTCCTTTGCTACAAAAATCAAAGAAAACAAAAAAGTATATGTGGTAGACCATCCTTTTAACTGTATCGAAATAAAGGATGATGATCAAAATCAGACCGCCCCCCGCCCCAAACTGAGGGCAAATTGACTGGGAGGCAAAGACAGACCCAGCAAAAAAACCTCAGCGCAGTTTCACTCCGCTTTGACAGATCCAGGGTACCCAAAGGGAGCCTCCCCAGCACCCCACCGGTTCTCATTAGAGAACTGGTAGAGAAGGAGGCAAAGGAGGAGTGCCAAAAAGGAAAAAAGGGCGGAGTGGCACTCCCCCGCGACCAGTCCCATCTGCTGACCCGCGGAGGTGGGAACCAAACGGATGCTCGCAGGGTCCCAGAAAAGCCCTCCCTCCCCGCGCCCCAGCTGTTACCTTCTGCGTTTTCTAAATCATCCAGAAGCATGTCCCTGGTGAAGCTGGAGATCTGGTCGGTGAGAGAAGCCAAGCTGCCCCCCACCTGACCCAAGGACTGGCCCAAGCCGGAGCCCAGGCCTCCTAACCAGGACGACATCGCTGCAACTTCAGTGAGCCATTGGACCCGCTCCGAAAACCGCGACCATCAACCATCCACTTCTCGCCCCCGAACGTCCTCGAGCGTTGCGGGGTCAACTACGACCGAAGCACTCAGAATTCCACGCAGTGCGGGGCTCGAGCCAACCGTCGCGTTCTGCCCATAAACGCAGAGGCCTGGCCTGGGCTTTTACAGGGGCCTCGCCGCCAGTGGCACAGTCACCCCCGCGGGGCCTCTGCTCCTTCCCTCGACTTTCCGCCGTCGGGCTTGGGTGACTTCTCCCTCTGTGTTAGTGACTTGCCCCAGCTCGGCGAGCTGCTCCTGCCACCTCGACGCCGGCCGCCATAACACCTCTCTCGGAGACCGGCAGAACCATAGAGAGGCGCCGCCGTGGCGCAGAAGGGCCCTGCAAAGCCTCCGGACGTGTCCTTGGCGCAAAGGAAAGTGGGATCGCGGAGGACCAAGCACGAGCGGGCGAGACCAACCTCCTCCCCGTAGCCCTCAGGCTGCGAAGCCAGAAGAACCGGTGGCGGTGCGACGCTCCTAACCTACCTGTGCGGCTGAGTTTCTAGCTAGAGTCGGCTTTGCGGAACGGCGTTGTGTCCTTGAAATCTGACTCCATCCTCGAGGGCGGCGGTGCGGACTTGGCGGGGTCATCACACCGCGCAAGAAGCGGCTTCTAATAACTTATCCACTTTACTCCATCACTTATCCAGTCAGTGAGGGGCCGCTCTGTGCCGGGCACTATATGTAGTCACTGTATGTAGTAGGATCCGAGGCTACAGAGCTATAAAAGACGGGTTGCAAATTCAAGTGACCAGGCAGGAATCACAGTTTTTATTGATTACTTTCTACAGTAGAAATTTTCTTTTTTTTTTTTTTTTTTTTGGGGGGGGGGCGGTACCAGGGATTGAACTCTCAGGGGCACTGGACGACTGAGCCCATCCCCAGCCCTATTTTGTATTTTATTTAGAGACAGGGTCTCACTGAGTTGCTTAGCGTCTCACTGAGTTGCTTAGCGCCTTGCCATTACTGAGGCTGGCTTTGAACTAGCGATCCTCTTGCCTCAGCCTCCCCAGCCACTGGGATTACAGGCGTGCGCCACCGCGCCCGCCTAGAAATTTTCTCTGGTTTTCCAGGTCACATTTGGAACTCTGCCTTCATTAATATACGATGAATTCTATTCATGAAGCCGACTTCACCCATGAAGTTATAGAAGACAGTCTTTTTTCAGAATTATTTTAGAGGACAGCAGGACAACTCAGAGAAAAGAATTTCTGTTCTAGCGTATAAACACTTAAAATGATGTTGGTGGCACTAGCTGTGCAAGTGCCCACCCCCCACAGCTCTCAGTTAACACATCAGAGTGTCTTGCTTGTTTGCATTCCTTCCTAAAGAAAGGACAGTCCCATGAATTTAAAGCAATTGGTGCAGTGAAACAAGGACACCAAAGCACCTGATCAGGGAGGCTACCACGTGACATACAGATAATAGCATATTATTGAAAAGGACATGCTAGGCCTGCAGTTCTTTTAAACACACTACTAAACACACTCGTGTCTTTCCCTTTGATTTTATTACCAGGCGGGGCTACCACAAATTGCCCTGTAATTGTGAATGAATAATTGGGAATGCTTCAGTATTTGGAATCTGATGGCACTGGCAATAGTAGCTCCCCCTAAAATGTGAAACCTTTTAAAAGAAAATTCGCATCTCATTCTGGAAGGGCTTATTAAATCCATGAATTTATGTGAATGAAATCATAGCACAGGGGTTGGGTGTATAGACTTCAAGGCCCAATTGCCTTGATCTGTCACGTATTAGCTGTGTGATCTTGAATAGGTTTCTTTACCTCATTGTGCACCAGTTTCTCATTTATAAAATGGAGCATAGTAACAATAGTGCTACCAGGGTTGAGATACTATTTTTAAGAGCTTGGATCAGTGCCCCATACATAATGGTTGCTATTGAAATGTTTGCAAAATTTTTAAAACGTGACATACAGATTAATGTATCTACCATTATTTGGGGCACTGGAAATAAAGCAGGGGAAAAGAACAGAGTCCTTGGTCTCATAAAGTTTGCATCCTGCTGGGAAGACACTGATAATAAGCAAAATGTAATAAGGAAGGTAGTGATCACAGGTAGGTAGGTAGTGATAACAGCTTTTTTTTGGGGGGGAGGGGAGTAGTAAAATAGGGCATGGATGATATGGGAAGAGGAGTTCTAATAATGTTATAAAGGGTGGTCAGGGAAGGCCTCCCTGATAAAGGAGCTCTTTGAACAAATACTTGAAGGAAATAAGGGTGAGACAGGACTTGGAATGTAGCTCGGTAGTGGACCTCTTGCCTATCTTGCTTAATAATGAATGAGGTCCTGGGTTCAATAGTGGACAGGGGGTGGGGGAGAGAGAACAAGACCTAAAGAATATCCAAGAAAGAGCAAGTGAAAGAAATATCCAAGTGAAAGAAAGAACTGATAAGTCTGCCCTTGAGGTAGGAGAACACCTGTCCAGTTAGAGAATTCAAAAGAAGGCAAGCAGGGCTGGGGATGTGGCTCAAGCGGTAGCGCGCTCGCCTGGCATGCGTGCGGCCCGGGTTCGATCCTCAGCACCACATACAAACAAAGATGTTGTGTCCACCGAGAACTAAAATAAATAAATAAATAAATATTTAAAAAAAAAAAAAAAAGAAGAAGGCAAGCATGGCTACAGCAGAACTGACCTGGGAAGGGTTGTAATCAGTGAGGACCCAGAAGAACCATGTGAAGGCCTGGTAGGCCATTATGAGGAGTCTGGCTTTCACTCAGTGGGATGGGAGTGACATGAACTTAGGATCTAATAGGGATCCTGCATAACAATGAAAAACTTAGCTATTGTAATCCAGTTCATATTTCCTATAGGTATAAATTCTCTGGACTTCCAGTTCCATAAATTCATGTTTTGGCAGAAAAATACTGCAATTAATAAAGAAAGCAAGCCCAAATATATGCCTTTACATCATGTACTAGTAATCAACATAAAAGTTATTTCCTAAAAGTTCCTTAAGGGTTTTTCTTTTCTGTAAGATGAATGTAACCTGAAAGACTTAAAGTATTTTCCTGAAAAATGACATGTTATGATGTCTTCTATGCACTCCAAATAATGGGGGGAAGGGTATGTGAAACAAGAATTGTCAGGAATTGATCATTATTGAAGTTGATGAGTACATGGAGGTTCATTATATTAGTCACTAACTTCTGCATGTTTGAAATGTTTTATAATAGCAAGTTAAAATACGGGTTTGATAATATTTGAGCTGAGGATAACTTTTCCTGCCCAATGTTCCTGTGTTAATACAGGTGTTCTTCGTCATCATTCATGAGTAGAAAGAACAAACCAGCACAGTTGAACACATCACATCAGACACAGCCCTCAGACCTCAGGAGCTCCAGGTGATATAGACTTCCTAGGTGAAAATTTGAACCTAGGATTTTTGAAACCTCAGTGGATAGAAATAAAAAGGAAAAAAATCAGAAAGATTTTAAATACATTAGCTACTATCTGGTCTCTGTTTCTCAGGTGTTGGAATCAAGTCTCCTCTAGTGAAAGCTCTTCCTTTGTTCTAAGACAGTCATCAAAATGGAGTTATTTATGCAAATGTAAAGCAAAAATCCATCTTTAACATGGGCTTCACATTATTAGTTTGATATCTCTTTCTGAATTTCTATTATGCTTATGATTGCCATTACCTCATTAACTTTAGACATAACCACCTTTTCATTAAGAAAAATAAAAGATTTAATCCTTATACCATGCCTCCATTCTGAGCAAAGCCTCCATCCTGAAGACAGGTCTGGAAGGGAGTATGTTCACATTTCTGCCTTCTGAGCTTCCAATACAGTAATATCATAATTATTGGCAAAGTCAGTTATCAATGTTACCTTATATGATTTTCATTGCAGCTGAGCCAGATGGTGTACTAAGATTTCATTTCCTTGATTTGCCCAATTTTCTGTTACTACAGAATCACTAAATTAACTGTTGGTGAAACTTAGCAGCAGAATTGTAAGACATGCTCCTAATTCTGTTTTCAATAAAACATCTAGAATTCTAGCAGTTGGCTTTGATGCAGTCCTCGTTACCAAGGGCTGTATTTTCCTGCTATAAAATCCTGGTTATTTTCTGGCCTGCTTTTCCTTTCTGGAAGCTTGTCTGTCAGATCTTCTCTTTATCTCGAATATTCTGAAATTAATAATGATGTGCTTTAGTGTGGGCTTTCTTTCTCTCTCTCTCTCTCTCTCTCTCTCTCTCTGCTGGGCACTGAGTGAGCCCTTTGAAAAACCATGTCTTTTAATTCTGTAAATAAGTTAAAATATTATTTATTGATAAATGCTTCCTCTCCAAGGAATCTGGTGTTTCTTCCAGTGACTTTTAACCAAACCACCCAATTTCAGTCCACGTCTCACCAAGATACTAGTTGCTTTCGTTGTCTGTGTGCCACTGGGCATATTTCTTTTTAACATTTAGTGTTGGGCTTGTTCTGCTCGTTCCTGCATCAATATTTCAATCTTTCAAAAAAAATAACATTCTCTCTTCTGTTGTCTCATATGGAAGTCACTACTAATTGTTCACCAAAGTCTGTTCTGCCCTTCTGTCGTGGTAATTGAACCCCTGCTTTTAACCTGAATGCCTGGTTTAGCAGAAGATGCAAGTGCCCCTCTCGTATCCCCTCATTTTACCATAGTCATGCATACTGGCCCTCACCTGTGTCTGATTATCAGAGGACTACCTTGGGTTGCCAGAGCCCATTCTGCCTGTGTGCCTGGAGAGCTGAAACCCTGTCTTGATCAGTCGGAGTGTGAAATAATGTAGCACCTCGAGATCTGCCTCTGAAATGTGAACATACTCCCTCCAGACCTAACTTCAGGATGGAGGCTTTGCTTAAGATCATTCCTTTACAGGCTTCCTGGTCTGCCTGTTTTTCTTCTCTACCCTTTCCATTTCTTCCTCGTGACACTTAAAAAAAATCATTTTCACAGGACTCCTCATTTCAGGATCTGCATCTAGGGTACCCAAGCTAAGGTTCATGGCTACTCAGACCCACTTTGTAGCTAGGAGTGGCCATGTAATTAAGTTCTGGCCAATGTAATATACGCGGAAGTGCTGGGTGCAGTTTCCATAGAGAAAAAAGGGCACATGGCCTTTCTCCGCTATACTTTATTTTTTAATGCTGGAATGCAGATAGAATCATGGGCACTAAGGGTCCCTGAGTTGACTGTAGCCATGGGAGTCATGTACATAAAGCAGTAATACAGAAAGAGCAGACTCCTTGACTCTGGTATTGTGTCATCCATGAACTAGCAATCACTTCTCAAAGATGAGAGAAAAAAAGGAGT